AAGTTTTAACTTTTTTTTATTTCTTTTTTCATACTTTTAACATAATCTGCATCGTTACATAAACTGTTATTAAATTTCCAATATCCTGCCTTTATTACCGGATTAGTAAAAGAATGGAGTTTGATATTCAGTTCTATTGCTGAGTGGTCAGGTGATATTGAAGGAAATATTTGTAATTAAATGCCATATCTTCTAAGCTCTCCGAAATAACCCAATAATCCAATCTATTTTGCATCGAAGAATTTCCTTCAAAGAATTACTTTGTTGTCAATCTACGGTGCGCAAGAAAAACCAAATGAGCTTATTTCATCTGTCTCAAACCAATATCTAGATCCTTAATAGATGATTCATATTATTTTCGCATGACGTAACTTAACTGTTTTTCAGTTTAAATGCAACATATAAATGAACCATGCACACATAGCTGCATTACTATCCTGGCTGTGTATTAAAACATGTTCTATTGCTTCTCAACATTTCAAACACCACTGTACAAATCTCAACTGACTTCACTCAAAATCGGTACTTTAGTGAAATAGCAATAAAATACAATTTTTTTTTTCAACTCACTGATGTAAGAAAGAATAATTAAAAAATTAAAATCGTGAGTCTACTGTCAAACTTGCTTACAGCCACATCGGCATCATTGTGTGCATTTGTGTGTTATTTGTGTATTGATTATTCACATGTGCAATTGCTGCCTATTAGCACGTAGTGCAGCGCTAAAGGTCAATACGCATTAGCATTGACTCTTTATGCTATGCTGGAGTAAAATGGACCAAGGTACAATCTTACACATCATTATACAGGTCAACCAGAAAGTATTATTTGAACATCTCACTGAAGTCTTCATATTCTCTCTTTTCTCTTCTTTATAAATACCAAATCATTTTTTTTTTCTTTTTTAAAGCATTATTAAAGTTCTCAGCTACATTTCTTCTTCTTTTCCATCCCTTTAGTTTTTTTCTTTTCTTTTCCCTGAATAATACTCCCAATACTTCGTATCTTTCTGCTTCTTGTCCGAGCTGATTTCTCAATTTCATTGCAGTTTCAGAAAGTTGGCTGTTTAAATCTTTAAGCAGATTTTATTAATCGTCGATAACGTCTCTTCTCCCACTGTTTCTCTCTTTCATCCCCCTTCAGATCAAAATGGTTGCTCAAGTAATTATGAATGATAGATTATACCTATCTTAATGGTTAAACTGGCTATTCTCCCTCTGCATGTATACTTCCATCCCTTCGTCTGCCTTTCTGTGACTTCTTACGTTGGTCGCTCCTTGGAATAATTCCTTGGTTGCTCCGGGATGTAGTGTGCTATCAGACCGCTTGTCTCGTCCTGATCTTCGGCATTTTGCGATGAACCCTGCCTGTTTTTATAGGTAGGAGTACTTTATATGAACGTAAAGCAATCCTTACTTCTTTTAGTGTTTCCATTTTTTTTCTGTTGGCGCGTTCGAATAGGCCATTTTTGTAATGCAACCAAATTTAATGCATACGTCTTTGACTTTGTGAAGTGCTTCAATACAAATTATTTCATTCACCTGATAAGAATAATAGTATTTAAAATTCAATAGTCAGAATGCAAACTATAGGCGCTGTGGCATGCGCCTGTAATCCAGCTAACAATGGCAGTTACAAACTGATTCAGCCGAGGACGCAGGTTCGAAACTGAGTCACGTCTTTCGGATGGTGACGTTTAAAGGTCGGTCCCCAGACATAAATAATCATATCTGATTGATACACGTCTGTAAAAAAAAAAACAATACACACAAACACACGCATATACTACGTGTTGCTAGGTAGGTCAATCCATTATGTTTTCCTACCTGAATGAAATAGTTTGTATCGAGGCACTTCGCAAAGACATATATGCATTAAATTTGGTTACATTACAAAAATAGCCTATTGGCTGGTCCTGTGTGATTAGTGCCTTTGCATTTTCAAGACAAGTTCTCTGTCAGTACTGTTCTCTGCTTAACTGGTTCTTGCAGATATACAAAATATTCCTGCCTATACTATAGCTGCGAATTAACGGGCCACTTTCAAAGGGAAATATACTTTTGTAATGATAATTCCCTTTCGCTACCACTCGTCTGATAATACGAGCAGTACACAGTGATTACCTTTAGAGGCAAACGAAAGGAAATGGAGCAACATTTCCTGAAATATTAATCAAAATTACCCGACTGGGCATGGTGTAGGCACTTATCTGACATAAAACATTATTAAAAACTGTACAAGAACAAATTCACTTTTAATTTTCGTGAGCCGGCAGTATTCGGAAAAGTGTCGAAATGCAAGTTTTAGGATGGTAAAGTCTCACTATTTTTCACAAATTGAAACTTCTATTAATGTATGTCAATTTCTTGACACAATAAGGCTTTTGTATTCATATTTTATCATCTGTTCGAATTTTCCCTTGTTAGCTCAGATAAAAAGTGAAATATTAACGCAATTTCTTTGTGAACCCCCCCCCCCCCCCCCCCCCCCACTCCAGGTACGGAGGGACTGCATTCATGTTCCCAAAATCTCCGGCTCATAACAAAGAAAAAGATCTCCCCTTTATATTGACTTTACATGAACCGGACTTATGGGGGGTGCTGAAAAGGGAGGGAATATGCGTACCCTAAATAACACTGAGTGTGTGTGTGTGGGGGGGTGAGACACCACTTAAGCTTTCTAATGATGTTGGCGGCATCAAACCTCGGACATCAAAGGTAACAGCACACCTGTAGATTCTATTGTGCAACCTTAGAAAACGGCAGCTGCTTGAAACACGATTCCCCAAAGCTATTTCTCTCTCTCTCTCTCTCTCTCTCTCTCTCTCTCTCTCTCTCTCTCTCTCTCTCTTTCTCTCTCTCTCTCCTTTTCTCTCTCTCTCGCTCATTGTCTTTTTTCCTTCACAAATCGATTGAGAGGACACATTACCCCTTTAGCTACACCGAAGGTTATATTTCGATCAGCCAATATAATTGGTGTTGGTTTTGTGCCAATAACGAGACCCTCCAAACAGATATTACAAGTTCATTGAGAATCTTTTTATTGAGCTCTTGGCTTGCTGCAGGGATAAGGCAAAAAAGGTTAACAGATCTGAAACACAAGAGGGCAGCGTACAACTTTATAACGACATACATTGTATGATGTGTTATTTCTCTATAATCATATTTGAGATATCGACACGGTTTGGCATGAAATGGTCGTATTAGAGCTGTTCTTTTTTTTGGTATAGATATTTGACAATTCAAATGAATTTGCACAGCCTATAAATATAATTATACTGATCAGTTCAAAACAACGCTTTCCAAAAAGCAAGCTCAAAGTTTCTTACAATGCCAATATTCACACAATAACAAATATTAACAAGTATTAAAGTGACCATAGGAAAATCCTGCAAGGTTCGTAGATTTATTTCTCTCAAATTTGAAAGCAAAATATGTACAAGACAGTCCAATTCCATGTCAATACAAAACAACAAATATACAAACCAAATTATGACAATAATTTTTTTCCTTCTTCTATATAACTAATACTGGCAAATAGAAACTAAATATTAATTTCTGTGATCTATATTTATATCAATTCAATTCAATTCAATTCAATTCAATTCAATTTTATTTCGCAATATAAAAATCAACAATATATTCAAAGTAACAGTAAATTTGAACTGTGTTTCCAAAGGTTATATGCGGGGCTTTCCATGAAGGTTGCAAAAACCTGTGAAGTTGGATCGCCCATTAAAGAATGAAAAACAATACATCATTACAATTGAAAAATAAGAATTTTTGTACTGAAATAGCAAAATTATTAGACATGGAGCGTATAGTCAGGTTTGCATTACCCAAAGTAAGAAGATATAAAGAAGATATAAAGAAGATATAAAAAAGATATAAAAAAGATATTATTGTATTATTACAAAATGAATTAACAAAGGACTGAAAGACTGAAATCTAAAACACATAGATACACAGCTACAAGCCATGATAACACAAATATTTAACGATAAAATGGTAATCCATAACATTATTTAAAAAAATTATCGTTCACTTAGATTTGATCTCAGTTTCAACAACGTAAATATGCATGTATAACAGGAAAGAAAATGAGTATAAACTATTATTGAAATATTGTTCACTCATGTTTTAAAAAATATAACAATATTGTGGCAATGGCCAGAAATATTCCTACAGAGGAGAGTAGCGGGAAACGTGTGTAAGAAAGAGGGACAGAGAGTCGAGGGTCACAGAGAGTGAGGGACAGAAAACCAGACCCATCGATGCAACATTTTATCCATTGAACTACTCTTGCATCTCAAACATGTGATTTTATCTGAGCAGTTCTATGTTCACTGTGTTACTCTTTTAAACACTAGGCAGCAAGAGCATTCATACCAAATAGTGCTTAACAAAAGAAACTGCTCAATAGATCGGTTTACTAAAATAGTGTTTTATGCATACTGTTTAAAGAAAGATTGTTCCTGACGACCCATGATCTTGCCAGAGGCTTGCCCGACATAACAACAGGTAAAATATGCAGACTGGATTCCAAGTATTGTAGTTCATTCATTAATAACAGTTTCATGGAATAACTTGTCACTAGGTCCCTAGGAAAGGAACATCCATACATTTGATTACGTTAGTAAGCCCGTCTATATATTGCTCCAAACAGCACAACCACAGAATCTCAATATGGTCTGTTTGGAAACCATCTATTGTACGGAAAATATTTGTACTACAAACAAATTATGTGAATACATCAAGCATGGAGGAGGTAAGAATTTAACTTTGCAGCCTGGGGGGTCTTTTACAAAGATCCTATAAAGTTGAACTTATCTCTAAGTTGGACTTAAAAATTATTGAAAGCCATTAGCAGCTTTGAAAATATTTTGTAAAAGTTACTTTAAAAGGCATAAAAAGTTTAATCAAACCAATAATATTTTCTATTTTCAAGGACATTTCATGTTCTTGATGTGGAATTTATAAAATATATACTATAATTTTTGCCTTTAATTTTAAGGCTACAAATGGCTCTCCATAATGTTCAAGTCCAACTTAGAGTTAAGTTTGACATAGGATCTTTGTGAAACAACCCCCTGGACTTCAATAAACACAGACATATCATTTGAATTACAATCCATGATAGGACTCGATCCACATCATATGCTTTAGAACGCAGAGACATTTCACGTCGCACGGAAAGCAAAGAATTATGGGACTCGACAGGATGAGTTATAATAAAAGGTTAACCGTCATACAATGCGATATCCCACAATGCATTCCTCATAACGTCGGTAGATCTCCTACCATACAGACATCAAAGTGTCATTTAAATGCACCGTCCCAACCTTGGATAGGTGATGTTGGACGTGTCAGCGTGCTAAGAAATGATGTATGCATAGCAAAAATAAACGTACGTGTAGCTATAAGGACGACCCCTCCTTTTGTCGGTAGATCTCCAACTATATAGGTGACAATAAACATGTATTATATAATACAGTTATTTGTTCATATTCATTGTCTCAAATACGACCTGCTTTAACGTATGCATTAGAGTTTATTTCTTAGAGTCAAAATCATTGTCAACCCCGAGGGACATTTGAGACAACAACATAAAAGTGATTATGAAATGAGCATAGTTTTTTCCTTGAAAACAAAAATGGAATGTTCAGACTTCTGTAACTTGAGGAATATATACTTTAATCTACTTATAGGTGAGAACATGTCATTTCGATTGCGATTTTACTTACGCTAATCCAGCCTATCAATTGAAGATAGTGCACTCGCCAATAATTTAAAGCCACAGTGCACTACTTATAGCTACTTGCTCCCTCTATATAACAAACAATGCATAATCGGTGACCATTGGTCCCCCATGATCCTTTTTTTTCTTATGTTAATTGAGAGCTGATTTGATGAGATAGCCACCTGTCCAGTGACCTTGCAGAGTAGTCTAATCCGTCATGTTCATTAGTATTGATGGGCTTTAACACAGTATTCACTCACTTTGCAATCATTTGTTTGTGTGATAAAACTGTCATGAGGCACGTAAAAGATTGCGCCATTCGCTGACGCGATCAACAAATGATGCAGTTTTGCAAAGAGCATACACTCATAAGGGTTCCAAGATCCCAGGTTCGTAAACATTATAGTCAAGGAATCCCGTTGTCTAATACAGTACAGATCTTTACATATTCAACCCAATAACAACTACATTCCTACTGATCTAAAGGGCAAAGTTAGTACACAGAAATGTAGCTCAGGTATAGATCTGTCATCTGTGTTTGATTTGAAACCCTCATTTGGGATCAAATTTTTCAGCATCCATATGCTAATTCTTCACAACACAGAACCTCAGCAACAGTCGGATCATTGTTGATAAGGGGCGTGGCTCGTTAGACTACTGATGTCAGAGCCTTCTTCTCCGTCACCATGCTCATCTTCTGGTACTGAAAATAAACCAAAATACAGTTATTAAACATATATAACATATATATATATATATATATAATAACATAATAACATAATAATATATATATATATATATAACATATAATACAGCCTACTGTATATATAAACATGTATATTAGAAGTGTGCTAACATTAATTCGAAATAATTGTGGTCATGAGATACGTACATGAGAAAAATACAAATAAAATCCACATCATACACATACACAATTACTGATCCTAAAATATGTACGTTTGCTGTTTCTTCGATAACACAGATAGATAACAGAAACTTTGTTGCTTTGATTTGATTTAAAAAAAAGATGGTTACATGATAATTAAAGGAAGTATGACAACGTTGGTAAAATCGAGAGAGTTGTTAGAAGTTGCACATAGTTAACAAATATATATATATTATTATTTTTGTATTTATTTATTTTTTAATTATTATTATTATTATTATTATTATTATTTTTTTTTTTTTTTGGGGGGGGGGAGGGAGTGGGGGATGGTGGCACATGCCCCCATGACCCCTTAAGCTATGTCACTGACTCACAATGTAATCCTTCGGCCTGGCGAAGCAGGTTGATATCGATGGGAGGAAGAGCAGATCGGTGCCCGTCGGTGGTGCTTGTATTGTCGCTGGCGGACGAGTGAAATCGTCGCTCGTCGTCACATGTGGCATCATCGTTGATATCGAAGTGTTCATTACTATTGTCATGGTTGTGATTGTTTGACGGGACATGAAGATCTGGATATTGAAGAGAATGAAATGGTTTATAGGAATAAGCCAGTTCACGGTTGCAGTCTGAGCATGAGCAGATAAAGGTCATTGCAGAACAAATATTGAAATACACAGAGACGAAAAACTTAATACGTGCTCATGAAAGTTATGTAATCATTATTCATTCATGCACAAGCAGTGCACTCCATGATACACAGGTGGAAGTATTCTTTGAAAAGGGGAAACAAAGGCTATTTATGTAGCACCTCCATCGCTGTAGGAGTGATTATTTCAAATTGTACAAAGTGGGACCTCTTTATGTTTTAAAGATCTGTGGATATTGGGGGTCATTGCAGTAATGTGCTAACCATGAACTGGTTCCATTCAATAAAGGACAGACATTTTGTGCAACTGCTGATCGATGAATACAACTTGCAAGTTTTTACTAGAGTGTAGAAATATTTGTTGGTGAATATCACACAAAAGAGACTGCATAACAACTCACCTATTCCACTTGTTCAAAGCGGGAAACATAAACGGGACTAGACTAGAATAAACTAGTAAAGGTTTTACTTATGTTGCTCATTATCATCTTTAAATTTCTGTGAATATCAGGATGTTTAGCAAGTAAATATGTTTTTTATCATCTATCATATCTTTGTATGAACTAAATAGCATGTTGACGTTTTTTATGTTGTCACTGATGGTCTAGTTGATATATCAAATCAATAAGCAACGATTAAAATAAAAAATTAAAAATGCGCCTGGTAAACTTTGATCTTTTGATGTAATAAAGAGTGACTGTCATCAAAATCTGTCAAGAGACGAATCTACCAAGATAACTGATCTCATCAAAATTGTCGGGTCAAAATTTAGTCACAGACCTTCCCTCAGTATGTCAGATTTCTTTTTTCTTTTTTCTCAAGGTGTGTTATATATATAATGTTTTTTTGTTTAAAATGAGCATATCACTTTTGTCACCTACCTTCAATTCTGAATGATTGTAACTTATCAGCGAGTGTACTGAAGACGAATTGCTCAACTCTGTTCTGTTCCAACGATTCTAGAAAAGCAGAAACAGCGTTGGCACCTAATCTCAGAAGCTCATCGATGAAGCTGCGAAAAAAAGAAGCGAATCAAATGAATGAGTGAATTTTGTAAATTTTGTATAATTATGCTTCACTTGTACCTTGAGGGGCGGATTCAGAATTGTTTCAAGAGGGTGGAAAGGGGGGGGGGGGGGTTTAGACATTAATTCACCCAGTAGTTTTTTTTGAAATACAGAAAAATTAAAATAGACCGCCTCTTTAAACCCCTTAAAAGCATATTTTTTCATTTCCCCTACAAAATGGAGGGATTGTTAAACCCTCCCCTATCTTAAATCAGATTTACTCACCGTGTTACTTTCTCATCTGTGGTCACATGACTATCGATGACTTGTACCGTTGTTCTGTCAAAGAAACCTTTACTCCTAAGGTACGCGTAATGGCGGCTGGGGTCAAGATGTCCACATAAGAACGGGAGGCTCGAATTAAGAACCTGCAGAAATGAAATTAACCGTTAATGAGTTTGTTGATGAACCTTTAATATATTGGCCATTCCAGAAAACCTATACCCCTGTACTAGTATCACACATACATAAACTACCTCCCATGAACAATATCCTGGATAACTATACCACTGCGGCAACTAATTTGTAGGACAATGAACCCCGGTGGGGTCACTCAATGTGACTTCCGGACCGCATGACCGTTACCAAAATCGCAGAATCAAGCAATGTCCGCGGACAAAATATTCCTCGAAATAAAGAAAATAGGGGTGCACAGGTGTCCCCGTAATTGATAAATAGGGGTCAGGAAAAGGGAAAAGAGAAAACCGGGAAGAAAAATTCTCAGAGCCGAGTCTTGTCCTTGAAATATGGTAAAATAGGGGTAAATTTGCGAAAGTGTCCTTACAATCTTATAAATAGGGGTATTCCAAAGTACGATTTTGTCCTTGTTTTGACGTAAAAAAGGGGGTTAAGTTTCACAAAATGTCCTTGAAATTGACCGCAAAAGGGGGTTATATGCATTGGTAGTAACGGTCATACGTGTCACTCTTTGCAGGGGAGTGACCCCACCGGGCAATGAACATTGGACAACTAAACCTCAGACTAAGTTATCGCCCAGGACACTTATTTTCCCCTGGAAAAAAACCTATCCCCTTGGTTCTATCAACGAAAATGTTACACCTAAGGTATGCATAATGATGGCTAGGATCATTATGCCCGCATAGGAAGGGCAGATGCGATTCAAGAACCTGCAGAAATTAAGAAATTCATGTTGTTGAAATATTATACAACTTTTTAAAGTGTACAACCACGACTATATCCTGGAATATCGTCCTGGACACCTATACATCCCAAGGACATAAACTATCAGACAACCATCTCCTAGGACAATACTGTTCCCTTGGAACTACCCCGGGGGCAATCATTCTTGGACAACTCCCCGCTTTGGTTCTGCAGATACCAGATACCAGATACTAATCTGGTTCTGGTTCTGGTTCTGGTTCTGGATTTTACTCCGACAAAGCAGTATCCCATATCGCGTCAGAGGGATAATTTATAAAAAAATCAGTGTTAATACTATTCATATTTTTAACTACATTGTCTGTAAACATAGCATTTTTTACATAGAATTATAACATACAATGCGCTCTCAATTAAATAATGCAAGATATAAGATCTGCATGTTGCAGAAAAACTATTATACTGAAGTGGAAAAGTAGGCATACTGTTAAAAATAGAAATCATAGTTTAACCATGGACCTACTATAAGAAGGTCCATGGTTTTACCAAAGGGGGAAAACAAATCTTTGTTACCCATTTGTAATGTACATGTTATCCCTTTAAAGACAACAGAGAATTTCTTTAACAAACATTGACATTAAAAAAAAACCCACCTAAATAAGTCTCAAATAGTTCACTATCTTCGGTCAAGGAACTTTCCTCACAGAATGCTAGAGCATTACACAACTGTTTACATACTCGGCAGACAAATAGACAAACCGGATGCCTTTCTAATGACCTTCACACTAACAAAGTAACAACATACCAACCTTCATAATTGCATAAAATTGATGACACTGTTTACATACTCGGCAGATAATTATACAAACCGGATTAATGCATTTCTAACGACATTTACACCAGCAAAGAAACGGCATGAGAAGTTACGAACCATGATAATGTACCAAAATATTCAACTACTGAATGTTGTTAGGCAAATATTCTAGAAATCTTATAGTTTTCTTAAAAAGTACACATAAAATAGTCTACAAATTACGCAAAAGCCATGTGATTGAGAAAAAATAGTGGAACTTATGGTACCAATCAAAATTATCGAGGAAATGTAGGCCCCAATAATGTGTACATTTTCTTTATACATGTTTTTACATGTATGGCAATACAGAGATCGACACGAAGGAAACAAGAACTATACTCGTGTATTAATTGTCATTTCAGTGAAGAAAAAACAATTATATTCATATTTTCTCACAGTTGGCATTAAAAATGTTTATTATGACCCCATAAAAGGGGAAACAGACTAAACTATTTCCTGTTTTGTACATAAGGAAGAAAGAAAGAACGAACGACAGACAGACATACAGACAGAAGAAATGAAAGAAATAAATAAAAAATAAAAAGAAAGGAAGGGAAAAAATAAATAAATTAAATATTTCCTCGAAGGAAGTGAATACTACTGAAACCAGGAGACGGATATTAATATCCCCAATGGCAATGAGCAGTATGAATATAGAAATTGTTCCTTATATCAATACGTGCGGTCATATCAAAATAAATAAGGAAACATAGTTTCAGAATCATAGCGAGTACGTTACCGGTACTTATTTTAGTAGCCCACATAATAATTCAGGTTAAAACCAAGCACCATGAAACGACCAGAAGTTTTAACAGGATCACCTCTCTCTTCTGTACACTGATGCTGATTACCAAGAATAATAGATAATCAATAGTATTGGTTACATTGTGTTGAAACTATAATAGTCTGTTTTTGACATACAGTAGTTGTTGGTACCTTGATCATCAATCAATGAATAGACCTTCAATTGAAAAGATATTGATGAAGATGACTATGATGAGAGCAACAAGAACAATAACAACATCAAGAAAAAATGCAATAAAGATAGGCCTATATAATAATAATATTTATAAAATAATGATGATATGATGATAATGATAAAAATTATATTAATAATAATAATTATTATTATCATTATTATTATATTACTAATCCAACTCCTACTACTACTACTACTACTACTACTACTACTACTACTACTACTACTACTACTACTACTATTAATACTAGTACTTCTCTACTAGACGGTGCTACTTCTACTACTATTTCTATTCTACCAGTACTGCTACTACTATTACACCAACTACTACTACTACTTCTATATACTGCCTCTAGTTCTACTTCAAATCCACTTACACATATAATAATAATAATAATAGCTCACATTTATAATGCGCCTAATACTACGTTTCTAGGCGCGGAACATATTATTACATTATTATATATGAAGAGTTTCATTCCAAAAGGAGCTAAATCCACTTTGGGTACTTCTGAGTAAATCACCTTTTTTATTTCTCCACTTTCCCTTTAGTCATGGACCTTAGTGTTGTTATATATTTTAAAGGTGTCACCCTGGACCAATAATATATGATAAGAAGAAATCTACCAGTTTTTCCTGATTTTTACTAAATTTTTAGAATATTTGTTTTCATGGATTTAGCTCCTTTTGGAATGAAACATGATATTGTACCTGGAAAATTTCATATTTTCTCAATAAAGTCACTGAAATTTATTCAAATTTAGTAGCAAACCTTTCCTTTTAAATAATAATAGTGAAATCACAACTAAAAAAAACCTTTTGAAAAGAAAGTAAACAACATATCACATTTTCATTCCAAAAGGAGCTAAATCCGTTTCATTCCAAAAGGAGCTAAATCCATGTTTCATTCCAAAAGGAGCTAAATCCACAAAATCTAACAATTTAGTAAAAATCAGAAATAAGTGGTAGATTTTTTTTCTTCTTATCATATTATTGGTCCAGGGCGACACCTTTAACATATACAACAACATGAAGGTACATTTCTTAAGGGAAAGTGGAGAAATAAAAAAGTTGATTTACTCAGAAGTACCCAAAGTGGATTTAGCTCCTTTTGGAATGAAACCGATTTGGATTTAGCTCCTCTTGGAATGAAACATGATATTGTACCTAAATTTTTTCATACTTCCTGGTGAAATTTTCAAATGTGATATAGTTTATTTTGTCCCCATGTAGGAAATCATTATTTTAAGACAAATAACTCCATTTTGATAAAATATGGATTTAGCTCCTTTTGGAATCAAGCTCTTCATATATATATATATATTTATATACCTCGCTTTATATTATTTATAAATATAGCCATCTGATTGGTCGAAATTGGAGTGGTGATTTTAGCCATGCCCTGCCTACACTGAGTCAATAGTCTTTTGAAAAGCGCCCTGGGGGACTTTTCAAAAGACTACTGACTTGACATGGTAGGCGGGTATGAGTACTGCAATATTTCATACAAAATCACTTACATTATTATATACATTGAGAATTGTACTCGACCATTAGCACCTGATAAAGCCGATGGCTTGAGAGAAGTGGGTGGACCCATAACATAAATGACAAATGTGGAAAATACAAAACATTAAAATTCACAATAAAAAAAAATGCAAGACGTATACAGAACATTACAAACTAAAACACAACAATAATACAGAACGACATAATTTATATGGTAATTGTATGCATCAGGGAAGTCATTTATATGTGGCAAGAAGACGCAACTTGAGTTTCGACTAGAAAGAACTTAGAGTGGTCACATGTTTGATTGAGTTGTCAATATTATTCCATGATTCCCCTCCTTTTTGTTGAATAGAATTTACCTTTCGTAATTTTAAACGTGCATATGGCAAGAAAATTTAATTTTTTTGTCTTGTGTTAACTTTATGTTTCTTGTCAACTGTAACAAAGTAATTTTCAAACATGGGTGGTAACAAAAATTTTTAATAACGATACATAAAGATTCCTGTTTTAATTGTTATATTATCAGAGAAATTTTATTTATTCAGTTCCTTTGGTTTACGTGTTAATGGATGTCAAAGGATTTTAGCGCACAAACTCGAGTGGTGCGCGTCCAGAGACCCTATTAAGACTCTCGATAGTGTTAACAAACTTAAATACCATGATTGGTAAATCGTACATGTATTCTATGACCCTTTTCGGTATATAAAAGTTATGACTGCTTTAATATTCAAGGTATAGTTGTTTTCAGACGCATACCCAGGGGGGAGTTTTCGGGGGTTAACCCCCCCCCCCCCTCAAATTTGTTTTAAGTGTTAAAAAAAAAATTAAATTAAAAAAGCCTCTTTTTTGTTGTTACTGAAGGGTAAAAAAAAAAAAAAAACCTTACCTCCCCCCCCCCCCCCCCCCCTCCTCCACTGAATGAAATATCTGTCGGCATAATTTCCGGGACAAAAACAAAAACAAAATATATGTGCTCTTACCCCCCCCCCTATTCACTGACCAGCTGAGCGAAATATCTGTCGGCGCGATTTTCAAATTTTAAACCCCCCCCCCCCTTGAAAAATACATTAAAATACATTTATTAATATATTTATAGTCTATTTCATGCATTATAAACCGTGCGAATTATATTGTGGGTAATTATTAATGCTTCCAGACTCATGTGGAAAGATTTTAAGACCTAAGTATAAAGCCTGTAGTACGGAGGAGAAGTAGCCCGGAGCATGTGTGAATGGTTCAAAAAATATGTACTAAGTAGATCGCCATGAATATTAGACTATTCAACGCACATACACACGTACATACCAGACAAAAGTGACTGGTGTATGGTGAATTCCACCAAACCATATCTAGTCTAGTCTATGTATATCAATATCTGTACCTGTTTATAAACCTGCTCTCTCTGTACGGGCGTCAGTTGGCGCAGATTTCTCGGCATTCTTCCTGTGTTTTCCGCTCTGTTCCGATTGTCATGTCCCCGGTTCGAGTCCCCAGTGTTTCTTCTAACAGGGGGATACTGGCCTGACGACAAGGTACTCATTTGCTTGAGTTAGTTGGCAGCTGGTAGATAAACAGAGTCGTACTTGTGATACTGCAGTTAATTTGGCAGCCTTTTTAACTTCCGCCTTTGAAGCACAGGGCCTGACGTCATAATAAAGTTAGTAGTGTCACTGTGCTAACCCGCTAAATGGTGCGTACCTAGTCTCTGATGCAGCTCGTATTTTGGCTAAAGTTTCAAGTTCAAGTTTTCAAGTTTCAAGTTTATTTGTCTTCCAGAAAACACATGTGACAAAATATAATAGAGTATAATCATAACAGTACAATGTAGAACAAAGGAAGACGAGGAGACCTTGGTTGAAGCACAGCTTGTTAAGTTAAGGCCCCCTCATAAAGCGGTAAAATACGTCAGAAAGCTAATGATATCTTCTAGTTACGAGAACATATCGTCATATACTCACTAAGTTCATTAATTTCGAAACATTGTATGACTTACATTGTTCTACAATCACGTTTATACTTTCGTTACCTCAAATGTTAGGACTTTAGACTTTCGATAGGCTCTGAATACACAAGAATACGAAATACATCGGCTACCAGGTGAGCACAAAGGGTGTTTTCGCCGATAATGAGGGGACTTCCCCTTGTCTAGTCTCGCCTGCGAGTCGAGTACCTACTCATCAGAGGCGCCGAAGCCGGGGGGTGGGGGGGGGGGGGGGGGGCGGCACAGTGCACCCCCGACATTTTAAAGTACCCCTAACGTGGCGCTTTTTAACATAGGAAAGGTAGGCCTACCTCCTTTTCACTTAGTGCCCCTTTTTAATTTCTAATAGGTTCACGATCACGTTTACAAATGCTTATTATCGCCTCTTACCGACTCTGATAAGTGCCTCCTTCACCTATGATAATTGCCCCTTTTAGAGAGGAACCCATTTAACTTAGACAAGTGCACTGTTCTTTTGTAATAAGTACCGCTTCTCCTTCTGACAAGTTCCCCTTTTCACCTTGATAAGTGCCCACTTTTATTTTATACGTGCCCCCTTTGCCGCTATTAAAATCTAGTGCCCATTTTCCTTCGACAAGAGCCCAATTATTTTGTAATAAGTGCCCCTTTCCATTCTCACAAGGGCCCCTATTCATATCAGGTGAGTGCCCCTTTTCAGGTACAAGAAGTGCCCCTTACCACCTCTGATAATTGCCCCTTCACGCCTTATAATTGCCTCTTTTCAAATCTCAGAGGTGTCCCTTTTATTTTGACAAGTGTCTCTTTTCCTTTGTATGCCCTCTTTTCATAATTATAAGTGCTCCTTTTTATCTCCGGTGAGTGCTCTTATTCAAATGTGAGTGATGCCCCCTTTAACTTTGTAGTGAGAACCCCTTGTCATGCATCTCTAATAAGTGACCATTAGTGCCACTTTCCTTCTGACAACTGCTCCTTTTCCTTAGTAATAAGTGCCCCTTCTCCGTTCTCACAATTGCCTTTTCATCTCTAGCGAGTGCCATCTTATCAGGTGCTAAAAGTGCCTCATTTTCACCTCTGATAATTCACTTTTTTTTTTTTTTACATTGACACATGTTCCCTTTGTTTACCAATAAGTGTCCTTTTCCCCTTGGATAAGTGCCCCTTTTTATTTTCACCATAAAGTGTGCTTTTAATTTACAGCGACTAAGAGCAATTTTTTTTAAATTTCACCCATTGGCATAGATCATTCGCTGCCTTCGCAAAACCAATTTAGAAGGCGAATATATTTTAGAATTCATGTTCAGATTGGGCTGTTAAAATTACATTAAATTGATTTTACGATTAAAAAAAAAAGAGGACATGTACATGTAGTTGAATTGCGTCACTACGATCAAACATATCTAACAGACTTTTCTTTTTTGTTCTGATTTGTTCCTTTTTTATGGGGGGGGGGGGGGGGTTGTGATATAATTATCAGGTGTGATAGCGAGCACTCCCCCCACCCCCCTCTTGAGTAATAAAAAAGACAGAAGAGGATTCAGGGGGGGGGGGAATGGCATCTAACAAGTCCCCCCCCCCCCTTTTGAGTGAAAAAAATTGGGAAATAATAGGGAAGAATAGAGAAAATAAGGGGGAAATCTGGATAAAATTGGGTTGAAAAAAAAATCAGGTTTTTATCAGGCCTGAATTATAATGAGCAACTTGCAAGCACACTTGAAAAGTTATCTATGACAAATGCAACACACAAAATTTCATTTATTGTGCATGTGGGGTAGTGTTTATTACATTTCCATGAATTCAACAGACACACAATGCTTATATGCTGTATACATTGTACAGTCATAATACACATTTCAAGTTTGTACGCTATATACAATGTACATTAAATCACATAATTTTGGACAGGTTTACTAAAACACAGCTGCCTGTTATTCATATGATAGTGCTTGCAACCTTGGGTAAAATAAAACGCACAAAGTGTGGCATTTCTTTGTATGTGCATTATAGAGATATTATTTTTTTAAATTTTAACATTGGACTCCTTGCCCGTTTTGGTTAAAATTTGGAACATGCAACGCAGTGCTTTAGTTAACTTTTATCACACATTCAGTGTCTATGGAACACAATACCCCGTCCAATAAAATAGGCAGTTTAGGAAACAAGAATTAACATCATCTAGTTTTGTTCTACAGTTGAAACTCATTATAACGAGGTCCTTGGGACCAAGGAAATTACCTTGTTATATCAGGAATCTTATAATATCAGGGTTTAAAAAACAACAGAATATAAAGAGCTAGGACCTGCAAAATAACCTTGTTATAACAGCTACCTCGTTACATCAGAGCCCTTTATATCATGGAAGACAATGAAGTTTCCGGCAACCAGGGGCATCAATCCATCTTCATATGATGGACGTAAAACACTCCATAAGTGAGATCAACTACGCAAGGATGCCCCTGACCCCCCCCCCCCCCCCCTGAAACAATGCTCCTATATCTTCTACTTAGTACAGACAAGGAAAACATTTGATTAAAAATAATCAGATCCTCACATGAAGGAACACCATACCATTCAAACTCGTACTTAGAACAGTATGTCAATGTAAAAATATAAGGAACAAGTAGATGGGTAAATCTACCCTTTTCATAAAATACAACGTATATACACGTACATTTCGTTTCATAAATATGACCACATATGAGTTTACAGGACTTGGGGGCTATCTAAGAACCAATGATAAAAAAAAAAACAGTAAATATTAAAAAAAAACATTACAAGCACACACAGAGGGAGGTATTTCAACTTGCATGTGGCTCGGTATGAAAATCCTGGGCAAGAGTACTTCCAAAGAGATTTTTTAAAACTTTGATCAAGTACATGTATATATAAAGCATGTTTACAGGTATTATCTACTGCAAATCTAGATAAATTTGATATATGTGTAGGCCAAGTAAAGTTGCAAAAACAAATTAGCAAGTTAGCAGTAAGAGATCAACATCCATTGGGCCGAGAGGGGATTTGCCGTTTTCCTGTACCTTATTATTTTACACCTGCCTTTCTTTGACAAGCTTACTTGGAGGACCCCCATCTTGAAATAACTTCATTTTCATCCACAAAATAAAATCAGTTTCACATACCAGTATTAGAAGGTTTGTGATATTTTGCATAAAGAGGAAGAATAAGTCCTGAAGTCCTCCTGGAGTAACAAACTGCGTTCTAATTAAAATTGAATGTTCTGGAGTTCTAAAAAATGAACTGTGGTTGTGTCATTTCAGACCAATTAATTAAACAACACAGAAAAAAGAACCCTCTTAGATTGCAGCAATTAAAAACACTAGTATAACCTAGTGGAAACATACCGTAGTCTTAACGTGTACCAATCATCTAAAATATCAATTTGAGTACCGTAAAGCAAGAGGTGTAAAATCAACCTCAAAAAACTTTACCCAGCATTCTATGCGCTAATGCATAATGGCGGAAGGGGAAAAAAAGGAGAGTAACAAGATCGCAACTCAAGGGCGATTTCAATACCAGATTATATACCATTTTTGGATTATGTAATACATCATTGTCATGTTCGCAAATTTCAATAGGTGAGGCACAATAGCCTTGTGTTGATTCGTCAAAAGTAGTTGCATTCGTATTGTGCATTGAAACATGCAATATCTACTTATGGATGTGATATTTTGAAACTCATATTTTGAGTACAGTATAACGACCATACTGACCCTAAAAAAACACCTAATATACTGAACATAATACTGTTTTGGGATTGTCATTTCATCAGCAACACTGATTACTTATTCATTATATTTACATATTTTACCATAAAATACAGGGAAATGATTAGTCGGTTGTGATCATAAAAACAGTCTTTACAAAATATTTACAAAACTATCGAAAATAAAAAATAAAAAAATCCCTAGAGCCCTACACATGAAACAAAGAGATAAATGACGTCAATTTATTACGAAACATAATTACCTGCAAGTTGCTGCATGTTCTTCTACAGGTATTTTTAAAGCATGATAGTAAACTGCTTTAACAAGAACATAAATTAAAGCGATTTTGAAACCAAATTCCCCCAAACAAAATTAAGCACGTAATATGCTCTAAGCATTCTATATCAAATAGCTAGTACACAAATGAATATTTACAATATATGCATTCCCAACATACCACCTACAGCGGAACATCTTCATCTTTGTAATGTACATGATAGTCATTAAAGGTAACAGATATCAACACAACAATGCATTCACCTGTCATAGAGTAGTGCAAATACTACATGTGGAAACAAATTAACAAAATGGAAATGTCCAATGTCAAAGGTCATGCAAAGGTCACAGAGTTGAAAGGGGGTCAAATAGATTTTTCTTTCCTTATGATGAATGTCAGGTTCAAGATATAGAGAATAAGTAGCTTTGGCTTTCTCTAGACTTCCTCGGAAAGTATCGCTCTCAAACTCGTTCAGATATGACACGGTAAACCCCAGCATTTGTTTTTTTAAACGATGATCCAATAAGCCAGTTCACAGATACAATCTGTGCATGGGCAGATGAAGGTCATTTGTACCAAAATGGTAAAACCCACAGAGATGAATACTAGATATGCGATCATGAAAGTTATGTAACATTATTCATTTATGCACCAACGGTACATTCTATGATACGCAGGTGGAAGTATTCTTTTCAAGAGGTCAAACAAAAGGTATTCATGAAGCACATCTAGGACTTTGGCAGTTATTATTCTAAGATGCTCAAAGTGGAACTTCTCCATGTGTAAAAGATCTGTGGATATTTGAGGTCATTTGTACCATGTGCTATCTGGAAACTCCCTTATTGTAATACAAATCACATTTCTGTATCTAAACACAGGCTAAGTGAATGCGTGTAGGACCATTTTGGGCCCATTTGCCATTCGTGTACAGTTTTATAAATAACCACCATGGTTTAAATATCTCTTCATATCTGAAGGAGACCTGATAATAACCATGCACGTTTGTGGATACAAAATTGTGTGAACATGTAATAATGATTTATATTTTTTTATATAGCGTACATATCCACCATGTATGGTGTTCAAGGCGCTTCAACTTTTACCCCGGGTCTGCTAGGCAGCCGATTACAGCGCTCACAGCATTCAAGGAATTCCTTCCTACCTGTACCCATTTAACACCTGAGTGGAGAGTGCCAAATGTAGATTAATATCTTGCCAAAGGACATTAGTGTCGTGACAGGACTCAAACCGCAGACCCTGTGATCCACAGTCCAACGACTTATCCACTAGACCACAACACCTCTGTAGATATGGAAGTAACTTGAAAAATACACATATATGAACACTTGTCCAATTAACAACTAAAAGTGTAAATATTTGTTCTGGGCATGTACTTAATGGAGTAATCCGTCAGCAGCTCACCCAGGAAGTTATACTGGGATGGTAGGTGAGAGTACTGCAAGGAGTGCCATGAAGTGCTAAATTAGTGTGTGGACAAAGCACTTATCAATGTACAGAATAATGTCCTACGCATGTAAAGACACCTGTTCACATTTTTAAGCATGAACAATTAGTATCAATTGAACTGCAAGGAATTTACATTGTTTAAGCATCTTATATAAAGACTAATTTTTTTTCTAGGTACCAATTTGTTTGTCTAGTTTGATATCATTTACAACAGCATCTAAAGTCTACTGTATTTTGATTTGTTTATCATATGTGTATAAAAGTAATGATACTTGCATTATCAAGGTAGCAACATGGAATAAAATCAGCAGATGATTTCATCAATGACGTCAAACCCCTCACCCAAATCAAAGAAATCTTCTTCTCCTATGTCCCCCTCGAAATCATCACCTATCTCACTCTCTAGTGAAGATTTTTGTTGAGTTGACGACTGTTCAGTTGAGCTGCTTCGGGTAGGAGTCGGAGTGCTACGCTTGGACGAGCTGGAGGACTTTGAAGAAGGGCTCATCCGAGAGCTTTTCCTTGGCTCTCTGCTCCTGCTACGTTCCCTTAAACGTGATTCCTTGCTGCTGCTGCTCCTTGACTCCCTGCTCTGGGTGTGTCGACTAGATTCTCCTCTAGCTTTGTTGGAGGATTCCCTTGTGTTTCTGGATGAATTGATCTCCCGGCTCTTTTGACTGGCTGCTTTAGCCTGTTCCCTTAACTCTCTGTCCCTCTTTTCCTGTTCAGCTTTCTTCTGCGCTTGTTCCTTCATTTTCTTTTCTTGAGCGAGTCTCTTTTCCTGTTCAGCTTTCTTCTGTGCTTGTTCTTTCATTTTCTTTTCATGAGCTAGTCTCTTAGCCTGTTCAGCTTTCTTCTGTGCTTGTTCCTTCATTTTCCTTTCCTGTTCAGCTTTCTTCTGCGCTTGTTCCTTCATTTCCTTTTCAAGAGCTAGTCTCTTTTCCTGTTCAGCTTTCTTCTGTGCTTGTTCTTTCATTTTCTTTTCATGAGCTAGTCTCTTTGCCTCTTCAGCTTTCTTCTGTGCTTGTTCTTTCATTTTCCTTTCCTGTTCAGCTTTCTTCTGCGCTTGCTCCTTCATTTTCTTTTCTTGAGCAAGTCTCTTTTCCTGTTCAGCTTTCTTCTGTGCTTGTTCTTTCATTTTCTTTTCATGAGCTAGTCTCTTTTCATGTTCCGCTTTCTTCTGTGCTTGTTCCTTCATTTTCTTTTCATGAGCTAGTCTCTTCTCCTCTGCATCTTTCTTCTCTGCTTCAGCTCGAATTCTTTCTTGTTCTTTTATTTTGTTCTGAAGAGCAAGTTTCCTCTCTCTTTCTTTCTTTTCTTCTTCAGCTCTTTTTTCTTGCTCTTTTTTGATTCTCTGTTCATTAGCCAGTCTGGTTTCAATGGCTATCTTCCTTGCCTTATGACGGTTAAGCTCTTCCTCCTTCGCTAACTGTATACGTATTCTCTCCTGTTGTGCTTGAGCTTCCATCACCTTCTGCGCCTGCTTTTGCTTTGCCAAAAGCGCTTCATCGTGGAGCCTCTGCTGTTCTGCAAACCTTTCCCTGAACAATGCCTCCCCTGCCCTCAACTCATCCTGAAGAAGGAGCTCTACTCTTAGTTGCTCCTCATGCTGCAGCTCTATCTGCAATTGCTCTTGAAGTAGTCTCTCCTGATGCAACTTCTGTTGCATCAGTGCTTCCCTCTGACGTTCCCTCACTGCCAGCGCTTCAAGCTGCATCTCCTCCGCTTTAAGCTGTTCAATCTTCCGCTGCTCCTCTCTCATCCTCATCTCCAAGATTTGCATCTCTCTACCTTTCTTCTCGCTCTTCTGTTTCTCTTCCAGCAGCCTCTGCTGAAGCTTGATCTCTCTGTCTTGCCGGTCTTGCTCTTCATGGACCTGGTGCTTCCTAAGCTCGTCCTTCATCTGCTCAATCTCCAGTAGCCGCGCCGGTGTCACCCCCATCTGCTGCGCCTCTTCCTGGCAGGTGGTGATCTTCTTTATCAACTCTTCTTTCATCAAGACCTCCATCAAGTGATTATCTCTTGGTCGTTCAGGGATCGTTATCTGAGTTCCACCGAGGGTCACCTGACTGCCTCCACTTGGTGCCATGGAGTTGGAAGAACTTTGTTTGTTGTCACCCCATCCAGGCTGCATTTTTTCATTCTCTTGTCCTGGATTTGGGAGTCCCAAAATGCCTCTGTTCATTTTTTCCATCATTGCTACAACAAAGAAAAAGATAAAGTGTCACTGGTTTTGATCGATAACATGTAACCAGAGCTGCCAACCCTGTCACTTTCAAAATACATATTATTCAGCTTAAAAAAACATATTTTTAGGTGAAAAAACATGATTTTCCTGGTTTTACGGTTTTCATTATTTTCCATACAAAATGCTATTGCAATTATATTTCTTTGAATAAAAACGCGTTCAATCATTGACAGCTGCCGACCTGTCATTAAAAAAATAAAAATAATTTGTTATATTTATTTACCCGGTACCTATTTTATCAGAAGATTCAATTATTTAAAGACATCGCAGAGTTTTAGAAAATTTGAAAATATAACGCTAAGGCAATGAGTACGAGGGCCGCTGAATTGCGGCGCACCACACAAGATTGTTCTATGCGGAAGTTGCGTATATATGTAGTGTATGTAGAAGTTAGAGCTCTTACACTCTGCATACACTCTGCATGGGTTTATACACGAGTATGACTGTGCGTTGATCTCTATAGAGGCAAGTGTGTTTATCTCTGTGTGTGCGCTAAACAAGGGATATCAAACTTTGGATTCATTCCTTCCGATAATGACACAAAACAATCTTGAAATAAATTCTTTTTACATCAAATAATACAGATCTTAGATTCATTGTATAAAAACCAATGATGCATGGTTTGTTTCGTTCATTACAGGATCTATCCGCTCTTGTTGAAGCTGCTTATGCATCTTTTGTATTCTGCCTGACCGCCTTAACCCAACTGCGGATAATATTGTATAATAAACCCATGTGCATGGACATTTGTATAATAGTTGGCTCAGTCACCTGTTCTGTTCGCTTTGGCTGCCTCATTTTGCATTTGGAGATTCTCATGGCGATTACGAGTCTGAAAATGAGAAATGAATAAAAGGGCAAGAAGTCAAATAATATGATGAGTACAAGTGGTAAACGTAATCTAAATTTTAATAAGATGTTATTATAACACAATAACAACTTTCATACACCTTGTAAATTTCATGTTTCTGTTGTTGTTTTTTTGTAACTCAAGTATGAAAGATGGACTGGTTGAATTAGGGCCGATATTGAATACTTATAGATGCAAGCTTCAACACCTCACGTTCTCAAGAAACATAGATTGGGGCAAATCAATTTGTTACATACTTAACAAATTACACAACTTGGTAAGGGTATGAATAACTTAGTTGTTAACTGTAGCTACCTTTGTTATCCCCATTTGCCATTCATTTTTTAAACACACACATAAAAACAATCTGCAGCGGTTTACCAAGGCATATGGTAATGAGCCTTATTACAGTCCAACTCTTTATATGCCACAAAATTAATCTCCCTATACCACATGGTATTTACCATGGGATAGATACAATAGGCTTTGAGTTTATTTAACCGTTTTCAGTGCAAGGCTAATCCATCCCAATGTTTTAAAGTAAATCAGTAACATTGTTGAAGGTTGATGATAAAACTGTGTAATTTGTTAATGAAATGTTACTTTTTATGTTCCTTCTACTATACTAACCCTCTAAAAGGCAAAAAATCCTGAAAAATTCTCAAACCACAAATATTTATATGGTTTTCTTTGAAGGCGTCACTGTGCAACACCCTCTAACAGTAAATTCTCCCAACCATTTTGAATTTTCACAATTGTTTTTCCATGAAAATAAGACATATGACAGGCTTTTGAAAATCTTTCACCCTTTAATATGTCTGGAATGGTTTATAGAGCCAATTCATTGCTTTGTGAAAATTTACATGCACCTAAAATGTTATTAAATTTTTCTAATATAGTTGGGAGAAATAAGAATCAATCAGATCACTTTTTCCCAAGGTCTGTTTCCACTCAAACTTTCAGATTATCTTTAATTGTACACATAAGCACCATTTTCTCTCATCTGAACATTGTTACCAAGTCCTTTAACGGGTTGTCATGGAGCTAATCATGACCGGGATTGGGTACTTCTGCTAAACCACTGTGTTGCACAAAATAATCCTTCTGTCAATTGTTGGAACGTGGTTTTGTGCAAAATTTCCTGTGCCGCAAAGAGGTGAAGAAAGCAACCAAAGTCTTTACGCAATCAAGAGCTGACTACTTACAATGGACCTGGTATGATGTTTGTTGCTTCTACAGTGCACTTCAAAGGCCAGTCTCTTGGTGTTAAAGAACTTTGAACAGACCTTGCAGAAGAAGCCTGTCACTGGAATGATGTAGTTCTGGCCTGAAAATATTAAAATGACGGGAACACCGATGTTAGATAATTTTTTTTTAAACTCAAGTTGTGGTGCTATGCCATAGCTCCAGTGACAATAGCCCAGTGGTAAATTTCCTACACTAGGCACATCCTCAATTCAACCCTAGGTCAAATGCTGTATCTACGTTCCCCTGAAGATGACCTTATCTAACCTAACCTGGAAGCAAAGTGCTACCTGTCCTAAACTTACATCTTTGAGGGATTGAAAGCCCAAAGCAATTGCCACTGGAATAAATGTTGGCCCATCCTTATGATGCAACAATGTTCACAAACATAATTACAAATTCCATCTCAGACACAAATTTTCAATTACACCCAGTACAGTGTCTTTCCTCATAATTCATCTTCATAAATTCCATTTCAGTATGTCAAATTCAACAATTTGTTAAATCAGGTTGATTTTTAACATGTTGATGTTGTAAAGAAGACCAACTATACTTTGTTTCAGGATAGTATTTACAGCATGCGAAATTAGGAAAATAACTGCATGGTGGAAGTAACAGGGTTAACTTTGCCATGCGACTATATAAGCTTTCCCAGTTGAAGGTCCAAACTAATGGTTACTTGTCACCCTTAGCCTCAGGTAATCACTTTAACCCTTGGATCTCTCCTACAGGTATGCAGTGGACCACTGGATGTGCAGGTGGTCCACTGCACCAGAGTTTCACCCTACTGTACAAACAATCCAGTGGGTTCTTAATACAGTGAAAGTTCCATTCATCACCTAGCTTGGATAGAAACCCATGCTCTTTGGAAAGACAGGAGGCTCTTCCTAAAGAGCCAAAATGCTTCTGTTTTGTGAGGGCAGTTGGACACTTGCTCCTGCGACAATCACCCTGTGTCGATTTCCTACACTAACCAAATTCTGAACTTGAACCTGGACTCAACACTTTATCCACCCTTGAACCTTAACACAAACCAATACTAAAACTCAACTGAAACCCTGATCCTATAACCTTTGCCAAAATAAAGCCCAGAGAAATTGTCCCAGGAGCAAATGTGGGGTCACCATTTGAGACATACCAAAGTCTCATTTGCTCCTACTCTAAAAGTAGAAATATTCTAATAGACTAAAAATGGCAAGCGCGAATTTTAGAACTCGCAAAAATATAAGCATGACTTCTTACGCATGTTTTGAATAGGCTGAATTGCGGGCAGCGCGAATTTAAGAACCAGCGAATATGTTTTGGGGTCGCTCAGCACGAAGAATTAATCACGCGAAAATAACAGTGTTTACAGTACTCTATAGCAAACCTACCGATCATCTCATTTTCTGCCTGCCCTGGAATATTAGAGTGCTGAACCAAGTCATCGTCTGTCAACGTGTTGCTTTCACTGGCTAGGGATCCAGCACTGCAGAGAGTGATTGGGGAAGGGGAGGAGGAGGAGGTGAAAAGGAATAGAAAGATGGGCAAATGTAAAGATTAGATAAATTGTAGAATAAATATGCAGAGGAATAAGATGTATGGATCAAGGGAAGCTAAATCGACGGACAAATATTCAGTTAAATTGCAATAAAACATTTAAAGGCATGGGGCTGTTGTCTGTTGTTGCTGTTCCAAGTTTTATGTGTTTTTTGTTGTTTTTGAGAGAGCATATTAGTTGACTAAAGTTGCAGCAACAAACATAATCACGTAAGAATGGGCACTTTTCATACGAGTAAGCAAAGACAGCAATTCCTGCAGATGCCCTGGTGATCTATGTGCATACTTATCCACCATGCACCAACAATGAGTGTAAATAAAAAAGGATTCGATTACAATTTCAATTGATATTTTCATAAAATATTACTAAAGCTCAGCTCAACATGAATTCAGAATAATGATGAAGTTATAATATGACATATTATGCTATATAATTTTGAAAAGCAAGTAAAATATTGATGCGGGTATTTAAGTAAAGCATGTCACAAGGTAAGGTCAAGAGACATCAGCATCACTTCCGGGTCAAAATCTTCAGTATAGTAGATCACAAGGACCGTGATTGATGATGTGTGTTCCTGCAAAAAGACGTTAGTGATTGCACAATGGGAGCAAAAAAGAAGTTGGCAATTGAGGGGAAAAAAATGCAGAAAGATTACATTATCATATTGGAGATTGATCTAGTTTGTCCCAGTTGAATCTGTCAGAATTATGAGGAATGATTTTCAATAAACAATATTAAAATTTGCTAAAATTATGGGGGAAAAAACCTCTTTAAGATATTTTAGAGGATAGAAGAGATATTATTAAAGTTAATTCTTGTCAGTAGAGGGTTGTTCCTTTGAAAGAGACAAAGTTTTTATGTCCTGAGTTTGTTTCATATTAAGTAACATGACGTGGAAGCATTGTGGATACATATCCGGTAGCGTTGCGATACATCCCTGGAAACCTACACCACAAGGTGCCTACCAGATGCACCACACGAAGCCTTGCAGATACATCCCAAGAAGCATCGTGGGTACACATCAGGAAGCCTAGTGGATACACCACCTGAAGCATTTTGGCTAAAGCTCAGGAAGCACTGTGGATACACCATTGGAAGCCTTGTGGAATACCTTAAACCCCTGGAAGTGTGAATATACCATCGGATCCCTTGTGGAAGCATTGGTGATGCAACCTCTGGTAGCATTGTGCATACTCCCAACACAAGCATTGCAGTTCAACACATGGAAGCCTTGTGGATACATGAACAGGAGTTCATGGAAGCACCTCCAGAAGCATTCGAGTTACATCACCAGGGGGGCATTTCACAAAACTTGTCATCAGTGACAAATGATAGTTTTTGTTATAAGCTACTGAAATCCTTGCTTCTGATTGGTGATCAGCAGGTTTGTCACTGATTTTTGTCATTTGTCATTGAAAAAAGGCGTAGTGAAACGGGTCCCAGGTTCCTGGTTGATATGCCAGGTCTTGTGGGTACAAAACCGAAAGCGTTTTTTGACGCACCATGGATATACCATAAGACCTTTGAGGAAACATCTTTGGAAGCATACTGAACATGTAGTGGATATACCATAAGACTTGAGTATACAGCACGAGAAGTGTTATTGATACACACCTTGAAATGTTGTGCATACAGTACCAAAAATGTGTAGATACAACACCAGAAGAGTTATGGATAAACCATGGGAACCCTTTTGGATAAACCACTCAAAAGTCAAACAGTCAAACCTACTTTAGTTACCACCTGTCTACGAAGACCACCTGTCTACAAGGACCACATTTTTTGTTTCCCTTGAAAATGGTTTCTCAATGAAACATGTACTTAAGGAACCTGTCTACAAAGGCCCCTTTTTGTGTTTCCCTTGGGATGTTGCTATAGACAGGTTTGACTGTACCAGAAGCCTTGAGGAGAAGCCAAGGTAGCAATAAGAAATGCAGTGAGAAGAAATGGAAATGTTACTGACATTTCCAGGATCTTCTTGACATATATCGTAAAGGAACCTGTATCTGGCTGCTTCATAAAGCTCTTGAAGAAACCAATCATGTCTTTGAATGATCCTTTCACTCTCATCATATTACTAAGGTAGACCAGTCTCAGCTTCCAGGGAGCAATTGGGATGCATCTCCTGGACCGACTAGTTCTTACTCCTCCACAAACGATATCCAGCCATCTTTAACACAACCAGAATTCAACAGGCTCATCTGGCACTGACTGGTTGTTTCTCGTTCAAGTAGCTCCTCATGGTCTCCTCATCAGTCTTAGCTGTTACCATAATTAAAAAGCTCCCCTAGTGCTGACAGGTTTTTCCTCCTTGCCCTTGAGTAGCTCCTTTTGGTATCTTCTGCTGTCTAAGCTGGTAAATCTTCGCCGTTTGTTGCCAGCATACAAAGGGCTCCTCCAATAGTGACTGGAAGTTTCTCCTTCAAGCAGCTCTTCATGGTATCCTCAGCAGTCTTTGCCGTCATCAAGATTCAAAGAGGTCCCTGAGTCCTGAATGTTTTTGCTCCTATGAGTAGCTCCTTTTGGTATCTTCTGACCAGCATTTAAAGGGCTCCTTCCATAATAACTGGTTGATCCTCCTTCAAGTAGCTCTTCATGGTATCCTCATGAGTTCTTTGCAATCACCAGGATCCAAAGGGCTCCTTCTATCATAAATAGTTGATCCTCCTTCAAGTAGCTCTTCATTATATCCTCAGAGTTCTTTGTCATCATCACAATTCAAACTCCACCCTTGCCCACTACTGACTGGTTGCTTCTCCTTCAAGCAGCTCATGGTATCCTCAGTAGTCTTTGCCATCACCAGGATTCAAAGAGCTCCTGCAGTCCTGACTGGTCGTTCCTTTTACAAATAGTTCCATACATGTATGTTAGCAGTAGATGTCTTTCACATCATCAGGATTAAAATGGGTCTCGTATCTAAATTCTTCACAGGTCATCTTTCAAACATTAAGAGGACATCTTTGGTGCTATTATTCTCATCCATTTCTTAAGGACTTGACCTATTGGCTAAAGGAGGCAGGTGTCTCCTGTAATAGAAGCCTCTTTGGGATGCAACAATTCGGTAGTCACTGGGTTAATCACCAGATGCTCTGCGGCTCTACCAAGTACGTAGAGGATTGCAATGAGTAACATGTTCATGTAAGTAAATGTGTTTACACGTGCCACCTTTCCTTCACAAAGGTCCATGAACATTACCTTGGCCAGGAACAAAACACAGGGAGGATGTCCATTCCAATGTATACCTAATCATCATCCTCAAGTTCAGTCAAAGCATTTCTGCCTTGATCATCACCTACATTGCAGCAATTTTTATGAATGTTCAAATAAACTTGAAGATCATTAGCCAAGTGATTGAAGCGATGCTGCCCAAGTCCACTACATCTCTCTGAGCCATAAGTGATTATGTATCATTGAGTGGATAGGTCTGTGTTCTGCAGTGTCTACCCAGATGTAAGAGCTTCTTTCTTTTCAGGACACTGGTGCAACAATCTATCTATCTAAGTATCTTCTCCCGGTTCGGAGGTTGATTGCAACATCTCTCCATTTCACTCTATCTTCTGTCATTCTGGTGCACTCTTGCACTTTTAGTTCACTCCAGTTCATGACATTCTTGAGTTGTTAATAGGTTTCTGGAAACCATTCATTGTCCCCTTCGGCAACAGAGAGGTAACGTTGGCTGATGCACAGAGACATCAACCATGCGTATTCAATACTTGACTGGCTGGCTGGTGTTTATCACTTTCTTCTGCAAGTGCTATCAATCAGACAGTCCCATGGTTGACCACTTACGCAATTGGTGAAACCCTTTTCTACATTTAGCTCTTGTTTTTCGCTTTAAAATTTGCCGTCCATTGTTCCGTCCTGTGATAACAGATTACAATGCACAAGAAAATACTTCTATATTCATCCTGCAATAAGAGGGCATTTTTACATGTACAATTCTTCAGCCATCCGATGTAAAAGTGGCTTTGCCTAATCCAAGCCATAAGCACCCTTGAGGTAGAAAGTACCGATGTATTGGCACTATCTATCAGCAGAAATGATCCAAGTTGTAGAGTTTTGTCCTTGTCAATCATGGCCCATTCTTTAGAGTTTCCCACCTGTTGTCGTAGAAGGATACAGTAAGCAACACCGGTGCATCATGAGCACAGGTGAATGATTTCCTCAGTTTAAGACATTGACCTTTTTTTGTGTCTGTAACCATGCTCATGGACATGATGTACAATATCTAGAGTAGACACAAAGCCTGAAAGAGGAACTCTTTGCGAAATTTTCAGCTCCTGCAAAGGACAGAGCCCTCATAAAACGTTCCTTCAAGATATTTTGACAGAGTTGTCAGACCACTATCCAAACCGTTGGCATTGGTGCCAAGAATGACAGCAAGAATGACTCTTTATTCCTACCAAGTAGCACTGCCATGTTTTCAGCGCACAGACCTTCTTAATTGGAAGGATTACAAATCTGGAAAACACAGTTCTATCACATTCATTCAAGCTCACCAAACATTCATCAGCAGCAAATATACCCAGTGATTATCATGTCGATTAAAGATTGATAATGTTTTTGTTTGCACAGGGGAGCCTCATCAGCTACAATGCTGTTCTTTCCGAGAGCCCTGTAATTATTTTCAGCCCCAGCGATTACCAGGTACCTATTTACACCTGGGTGGAGAGTGGCAAATGTTGATTGATCTCTTGTAAAAGGATGTTTGTGGTGGGCCGAGATTCAAGATTCAACCTTGGTTTGAGATTCAAGTGAATGACCCACTATACGACACCTCCACATCGAGAGTGAACCAAGCATTAAAAAATGCTTTCTCACATTATTCCCCACACTTTCACTTTCTTTAGTTTGATTAGTTGGAGCCTGGTGCGTTTACAGGTACATGTGAAAACGCATCTCAAGATGGTTTTACTTGTGCTTCCCGAAGAGTGTACTGAGAGTAAGACGAACATGACACCATCATTAGTCCATGCATTCGAAAGGTCACTCTCTCTCCTTGAAAGAGGACACACAGTCTCCCCAGGTTAAGGAACATGCACGTATATTGTCTTGCCAACAGACAATATTTCAGTTTTAGATTTTTAAAACACATTCACATCTGGTTTAACTGATTATCATGATGTCAGTACAAATTCTTTTGAACATACATCTTCAGCTTTACTCTCTTCTGAACAAGGCAGGAAATATTAGGTGACAATCTGTTGGATGAACTACTTCTTACTTCAGTCAGCTCTCATTCTCTGGACCTTGATTGTTCACCAACACCCACTTATTTGCCATAACTGTAGAAGTGAAGGAAAACTGATCAGTCCTGTATAGGAGCTGCAGAGTAACAGTGGCTAGAACTGGAAAATAACTATTTGATGAGTCCTTGATGCTCGCTAAAGTGAGGTCTGGCAACTCACAGAACTCACATGTATGTGCTTTAGGAAAAGCATTCAAAATGTACAGTACATGTACACAGTAAGAGCAGAGCATGTGGTACCAGCCCATTCATGTATGTCCATGGCAGTACTGGATTATTGTACTTCTGTAACACAACACCAACAGCAATTTTCAACAACTGCTCACTGCTGTTCAAAATGCAAGACAATGAATTCTGTAATTCTGAAGTCCAATAGTAACCAAAGCTATATGATAACTGTCAAGCAAGACTAATCCTAGTACATATCTGCATCCATCCTTAATCATCCATAATGACCTGTAAAGTGTACCCATCTGTTGATATCACTTATGGCCTTGTCCAGTCAACAGTCCATCCAGAACTAAACACCTACGGTAATGCCCCTGTATTAGTTCAGGGGAAATGGGTATAGTCAAATCTTCTTGCTTCAGCTTGTAAAGAAAACTCTCACAATGGCATTGCCACTCAAGGTAAGAAAAGGCAGAAAACCTTTATCTTCCTCATCTTACAGTAAATTCATTCTAAACTTCATTGTGTTATATATTTTGTTCCAGCTTGGAAGATAATTAGAATTGTCCATGCATCTAAATATTGAAGTCTATCAGTAATGTTAAAGTTTGAAAATGTCTTGAATAAATATATTTGTTTTATTTACTCAAACTCCAGCCATTATGGAGTAATCAAAGTTAACTGAAGATACTCAAGTATCTAGCTACTCTTGAAAGCTCTCCTTCGGAACTTACCTGCCAGCCGATACGTTTGTTTCTGCCTGTTGCTGAATGTTTGCTATTGCCATTGCAGAAAGCTGTGCATTGTCCAAGCTTCCCAGTGATGCCTCTTGCTGCTTCATCCAAAAGTCAGTGCCGGATTGCTCAGTGGTCATCATATCAGCCTGTTCTCTCTCATGATAGGCCATGGCCTCAATCATTGACAGCTCTTGATTGGACAACGTCTCCGGAGCTTCAGATGGCGGCTGAACCGATCCTGTTCGTCCACCCGCCTGTGGACTTGACACACTTCCTGTCGAAGCCCTTTGCTGATTGGACCCTCTCTCTTTCCTACCTGACCCCTGATAGGCTCCACCCCCTACTTCTCCAGACGCTCTATTGGTTGAGCCATCTTTCCCTCCTGGTGGGAAGTTCTCAGTGCCTCCTCTTCCCCTTGTCTCTACAATGGCCTTATCCTTGGGAGGATCTTTGGAGCGGTTGTACCCTTCCAGCAAAGCTTCATCTTTCATCCTACTAACCTTCAACCTCTCAAGATGATCACTGGTCAAGCAGTGTTTTATGAAAAGCTGAATAAAAGTGAAACACAGACCAAATACATTTTAATTTTTAAGGGCAGCACTGAGTACATACATGTATTAGATAAAAGAGGGTACATCAATATTTTGGGGTAAAAATCTTGTTCTTGTACAGTATTTACACAAAGTCTCAGCCAACATGAAGTCTCTGCAAGAAATAATACAATCAATATACAACTTATCCTTCAAAAGATCTGTTTGATAACGTAGTTTTACTTATACATGTACATATAGATGATTCATCCCACAGCCACAAATTATCAAATATCAAATTCACAATTGTAATGTAAGAAATCTACTTTACATATATTCATCATTGCCATGTCTGGCAGGCCTCTGACAAACTTCAAGGGGACCATCAGCTCCAGAAATATGCTTAGAATAGTAATAACATTCTCTTCATTAAAAAACAACATACCTTACTCAAACTCCAAAAAAAGGTCTCATAAAATTGAAGAGTGTCATACTTTATAATGTGCTAAATTTGCTTTGATACACATGGTAGATTTTTGTTTGTTATCCTTGAATATGCTTGAGTAAGATATAGGAGATAGATGATGAGGTTAAGCTCAAACTGAACTTGAAGAGATTGTACATGTATATGGTGACTTGGCTGTAAATACATAGAACATTTTACCACAAAGAACAGCTGCAGAGAGAATTTTGAAAAAATTAAAAAAACTCACCGCTTGGGTCGTGAAGTTAAGCATGCAGATAGTGCACCTAAATTCACCCTTTGTTTTAGAATTGTCGGTCCACTGAAAGGGAATGTTCTTCTGAAAGGACATATATAAAGATGATAAATTTGTAAACAAAAGGTCATAAATGGAGAAAATGATTGCCAGTACCCCCTTTCAAAAGTGGTCAATAGTGGTACTGAAAGAGATCGGTACACAAATGCAGTTTAAAGGAACAGATACATTTTAGCATGTGTATCAAAATAGCAACGTTTAAAGTCACACATTTTTTTTCCTACAATGAAATAAGCGGCTTGGTTCTTTCCTACTTTCCAATTCAAATACGGGGAAGAGCCAATAAGTAACCAGGAAACTGTTGTCAAATGTACTTTCTTACTGGTACAGAATACCCCCTCTCCAAAAGCTACTTAATCTTTTCATTCTGTTGTTGTTATTGTTGTTGTAAAACTAAGCAATGACAAATGGTGGAGGTGGTGACTCACCTTGTCTCCCTTTTGGTTTCCTCCCTTCTGGTTTCCTCCCTTTTGGTTTCCTCCCTTCTGGTTTTCTCCCTTCTGGTTTCCTCCTTTGTTTTGTCTCGCTTTCTGGTCAACTGTCCGCAGGAGGCCACGAAGTCTTGCCACAGCTTCCTGCGCATTCTTATTGGCCATCTCTTCCATAGCCTTCTGTTGGATGTAGGCATTCTGAAGAGAGGAACCTGCAGATTCATCATCTTCAATATCCATGGGTTGTTCAGTGACATCATCCTTCTGACCGGTGGAATTTCTGGACGTAGCTAGGTTTTGACCTTTTCCCCACTGCTCCTTCTTCTTGTTGTGTGACCGATCTTCTTGAGATTGCCCAACTGCTCGGTTCCAGCTCAGTTGAGCTTGGTTGTCCTGCCACCTCTCGCTGCCTTTGAAAGCCTGTTTACCATGTTGGGCATCGGAACTTCTCTGTGAGGCATTCTGTGCACTTCCCCCCTCTCGATCTTTTGATGGGCCTTGCTGTGAAGATCCTTTGTCTGGGTATTTACCGGCATCTGAATTCTTTTGATCTCCTGTGCTAGAACGGGAACCCTTCTGATCATCTTTATACCTCTCCTGACTTCTGGCGCCGCCACGACGACTCTCTCTTGAACTGTGGATACTCTCGTTCTGTCCTCTACTTCTGCTCTCATCTCTCCTTTGGTCTACCTCATCCCTCTTTTGATTGCTTTCATCCCTCCTCCGATCATCACCATCGTCATCCCTTCTCCGATCGTTACCATCCCTTCTTCGACCATTGCCACCACTTCTTTGTTTATCGTCTTGATAGCCTCCTGGTCTACGTTCCTCTCTGTCTCTGTCTCTGCCTCTTCCATGTCCCTGGGTTTCTTCTCTTGGAGGCCTGTCGCCTAAGGCTATTGAGGCTCGCTCTCTTAATTCTCGTTCTCTCAGGCTTTGTTTTTTCGTGTCAAGTTCTATCAATTGTTGTTCTCTCGAGCCTAGTTTCCTCAAGTCAAGTTTTACAATTTCTTGGTCTCTCTTTTCTCTCAATTTACGTTCCTTCAATGCATGCTCTCTCAAAACATGTTCCCTCAATTCTCGTTCTCTCAATTCTCGTAATCTCAATTCTCGTTCTCTCGACTCCTGGTCTCTGGAACCTCGTTCTCTTGAATCTTGATCTTTTGAGTTTTGCTCCCTCGAGTCTCGTTCATTTGATCCTCGTTTCATATTCCAGGAGTCCCCTCCCTGTTTATCATTAGCATCAGGGAAACTAACGATGGATGATACAACATCCCATAAGGCAGATTCTTTATTATCACTATCCGGAGAATCTCGCCTTCGCCTGTCTCTCCTTCTGTCCTTGGACTCTTTTCGCCTCCCACTCTCGTTAGGACCAGATCTATCCTTATAACGTGGCGTACGGGAATCATTTATTCCATCTTCTCCAGGAGGACGTGGCTCTGAACTATGCTGCTGTGGATCAAGCATGGAGAATTGAAGGGTTAGGTTTTTTCATTATTCTTGGCAAAATGTTGGTATCATATGTACGCTTCTGACAGAATCCAAATTAAAGACAGCTATCATCAGACATTATACAAAACTCTTCTATATGTAAAATAAATAAAATTACCAGTGGATAAAAATGGTAAAAATGAGCACACAAATATATATAAACCACATACATATATCCCGATTAAAAATAGTCAATGAAAGAACATGTGCATGCATTAAAACTTCAGAACAAATTCATCATTCTTTCAAAGTCAACCTGTCTATTGAAGCCACATCAGAAAATAGCCATTGTAGACAAATTCTCAAACACACATTTCTTTCTACAGATATACATGTAGACAGCTGACAAATGGGAATATCCAAAGCTTTTGGCCATTTTTTGTCTGATGTGTTCTCCTCCTCCTCTAGTTGCATTTTCTCCTGCATCAGCTTTGTTTTCTTCTGAATTAAACAAATATGTAAACAAAAAGCTTTTTCCAGTACTTAAAAAGTACTGAAAATAAAGAAATACAATTTAGTGCGGCCCCCACGACCGCCACTGAAGCCCATCCACTCACTCAGAGTGTGGTCTTCAGTTTGCTATTAAGGGGTCTGGTAGAGCAGTGGTCTCGTAATCCGGCAACCCGGGTTCGAAACCAAGGCGATGCGCTAGTGCCCTTTGGTAAGGCATTAATCCACATTACCAGGTCTCTCGGAGAGGACCTAGAGCCATCAGTCCTCTGGTTGCTTACCAACAAGCATTTATGCTTTCTTAGCAGTCAGGTAAAATAACCACCACTACTTTCCATGTCAGATGATCCTCTGGTTAGTGTGTCTTTGTTCTTTCGTAAATGCCACTGCTTTCACAAACAAGCCGGTGCGCCAACGCTTATGCACTGCACCAACATTGAATATCTACAATAAAATGGGTTCAAGAATGTAGCCATTGAGAAGTGTTGAAATGGATCACATTTACGTGGATTAGTTTTTACCACATGCACAGGGAGTACATTTTGGTGATGACAACCGTCAACTTCTCGACTTTATACTCGTATTGTAGACACATCTTAAAAAACAAATAATACATGTTTTTAGCTCGTTCATTAGTGATATTATGAACTGCAACTTGTTTTAGTCACAATGAGACGGACAATGAACTTGACAGGTCTTGTTCATTATCCTACATGTACAGTGACTTTAACCTGCGTGCAGTGCATATTCACTAATGCACTCACAAACATGTATTATTTGTATACTAAATTGTAAAACCAGTGCAATCCTTGCACCACTGGAATCCCTGAAGTAATGCTGCTACTTGTGCTAGTAAATACAAAGGAATAAATTCAAGGATCTTGAAGCTACTGCTGCCACAGAAATGAACTGAAATGAAAATAATAATAATTGAGCATAATATTAAGGCAATGCTTTGATCATGTTAATGTACATTCAGAGACACAATACAGCCTTGCTGTACAGTTTGAAATAATGCTGTTTCCTGAAATGAAGGAAATGTTAATGTGGAGAAAAAGGTCAGGCAGTTTTATAAAATTCTACGATTTAGGTTAAAAATTTGTTTCAGGATTGGTGATGCTTTAGCAAGAATGAGGGATGTACATGTATACGTGGGGCATCGGTACAATAGCTTATTGCTCATACTGGGCTTCTTCTTATACATGTAAATCAACTCAATCGCAAGTCCTCCAATTAATGGCAACTTTGCCGTCTCCTATCTCTTATGTACATAGTTGCGATTGATATCAATCGCAAACAATTGGGATTGATATCAACTCTGTATAAGATGGGGGCCATTATAATTTATACCAGTACTTCAAAAGTCGCCACCAGACAGGAATATGAATGTACGCTGTATATACATATATGCACATGGAGTGTTAGTGAACTTTCAAACATTGCTTTAAGAGATAACAAAAATGATACAGCGCACTAATCCAGTCCCTTGTCTCTGGCTGTTTGATAAATCATCGTCTTGCAGTCAAATTTATGTGACAGCCATAGAATGTCATCGGAGTTAATTACCGAGGGTGATGTGATAGAAAGACTGGTACAACGGAACTAAGACAAAGCATCTAGTGCAGGCATTTGGAAGAGCATAGACATAAAAGTCCACGGTATCTGACTTGCAAACTCACCACATCAGGGCCGTTTCATAAAATGTGTCATCAATAATAACTGATTAATGTTTAGACTGTATTCATTCATTCTCATCACCATAATTTTTGAAGGAAGGGGGGAGGGTCTGTCTTTGTTATACTCTTTTCCACATAAATCTACAGGTAAATTAAATAACTAGAATATGTATACCTATTCAAGTTTTCATTGATGCCAGTCATCTATCCATCCCATCGTCTGCCTCTCTTCTCCTTTCACTTTTCCTTCCCCTTTTGCTCTGTATCGCATCTTATAACTTGTTCTCTCTTTTCAATGCCCATTTTTTTTATTAACTGTCTACAGACAGTAATACAACTACACAGCTAAGGGTCTATTTACTATTGATGGAAATTAAATGTTACAGATATAGGGAAAAGCATACATGCCAACATTTGAAAATCAGAAATCTGTACAAATTATGCTATTTAAAAAAAAAGAGGAACAATCCTAACGCTCCTATTCAATACTACAGACAAATTTGTACAGGAAGAGGAACACCTGCATTAAAATGATAATTATCTTCTCCCAAAAAGAGGAATGTTCCTCTTTAATCTGAACAGTTGGCATGTATGGAAAAGGAGAGAAAAAGAATAATACTGTTTGTATATTCACTGCCGAAAGTGAACCCAAAGCGGGTAAAGATGTCTGCATCAAGTGGGGATGAAGTGAAGATGATAACATTCAGATTTATGTTTGGTTCCCAACTAGTAAAGTCTGGATTGAATCCAGATCCCCCCCCCCCCATTCGACCCCTAAATATGAAAAGGGTATTAGACAAAATGCAATGTAGGGGGGGGGGGGGGGGGATTTGGATAGTGCAAGAGAGGGAATGAGGGAGAAAGAATGGAGTACAGAGAATAAACCAAAGATGGTGAGAAGATGGGAAAGGGTTATAGAGAGAGAGAGAGGATATATGCAAAGAAAGAAAGATGAAAGACCATGAACGGTGATTCAACCTGGATGCAGCCAGCCAGGCATGAGATAGATTAACGATGAATCCATTATCACTTGTGGTATCAATGCTCCGGATAATTACTTGACCAAATGATCATTAGCAGTGTCTATTACAAGGCGCCTCAACCTATCATCAGGTCACATAAGACACAGATAGACACAGATATGCCAACCTTTACATTCAGCTTTCAGAGAGGATTCATTCATAAATCAGAGAGGATTCATTCAGAAATCAGGGAAGTTTCTATCAATTGCATACAGCATAATAGGAATAATCTTTCAAGAAACCAAGGAGGCCTAAAATTTTGTTTGGAGTGACATATCAAAGACACAAATTTTCAGGGAGGGTTGGCATCTCTGTAGACCATCAAAGGTAGTGTCGGCGATATGCATAATTGCTTGAGAAGATATATTCTCAGACCCTTACATGTACATTGATGTCACATTGTCACAAGAAGTACCCAATATCATGGTGTCACACTATCGCACAATTTAACAACTTGAAAGGCTCAACTCGATTGAACACCTTTCAACATTTTGTTTGGTGGGGGGGGGGGGATTCATTTCATGCCTTTGGACCCCTACTAGTGTTGAACCCCATCTCCATGGTGTAATACTTTTTATTATTTTAAAATACATGTATTACTACTACTACTTCTACATGTACTACTACTACTACTACTACTACTATTACTATTACTACTACTACATCTACTACTACGAAGAAGAAAATAATATTATCAATGTGCGATATATGTGTTTAAAAAATGAAATGCCATCATTTTTGTGATTAAAAAGAGAAAAATAAATATTTTTTGAAAATTCAACTCTAAATTAAAACATAAAATCTTTCATTGATGCAGATTAATAGGCGAAAAGAAGAATTAAGAGGCTTACCAAAATTAACATGATTATATCCAAATATAGAGTTAAGATTATACTCCTCTTATCTTTTCCAGAGCTCCCTCCTCACGTTCTCTATCTCTAACCCTCTTGGATCGCATCTGCAAGAGTCATCATCTCTTCACTTACCCCAGCTCTGTGTGTATGTGTGGTTTACCATTTCAGACCCTTTGTCTAGTATGATACATTATAAATCAGTGTCTGGACTATCTGAGCTAAAGACTATCATACATAGACCCCAAGCTGTAGCTACGGTATATGTTCTTCGTCTACATGTATCTTACACAATAGATTATCAAGCTAGCATAATCTAGACTCCAGACACAATGCATTGTTTAGTTGTCAAATTATAGTCTGTGCTTGTAGACTAACATACAGTACCTTTGAGAATGTGTGGGTTGTGTGTGTGGGTAGATGTACAAGTATGTTTACATGGACTTGAACATGTGAGAGGACAATAAATGGATTAAAATGCCATCGACAACAAAACCTTAACTGAATTGCATAGGCTTTGAATGCTAACTCGTGAAATTTTGCTTTCACTTTCTAAATGATTTGAAGGGGGGGGGGGGGGGTGTCTCTTCCACAATTTCTCAAAGTTGATAATGAAAATGTACCCCTCCCTGCCCCCCTCCTCCCCCCCCCCCCCCCCGGCACAAAAATCCCAACAATTACCTAAATGTATCCATGATAGGTGATCAGGAAGAAAAAAAAGTTGATCTAATCGAGTAAATCAATAAATTAACAATGTGTACCTTAAATCCACAGGCACATTGGGTAAAAATGTTGAAAGAGGAAGACTAGAAAGTACATTACTTTACTTTACACTCCATAACATGTGCCACGGAGATGCTGAGAAGCAGACCGTTGGTCAGAGAAGAAACTGATACGGGTCAATCGGTAACCATCCTCCTAATGACGTTCAGAGATCCTGACAAAATAAATGTTTGAGATGACGTCTATCGCTAATGAACTATTAACACTGCAGGCAGCTCAGCATGCTCACAATACTGTAGCCAGTAGACAGAGACAGGAGGGGTGTTCACACAGAAGACTTACTGAGATTCTCAAATCGGTTTTGGACTTACAGACCAGAAGCTTACATTCATATATATGAGCTAAAAATAATTGATACATTCTATTCCGCAGAAAATGTGAATTATCACAATTCAATAAATACATGAATCAAACACTTTTAAAACCAGGTTCTACCAAAGTGAATAAATTTCTATTGCCAAAATATGAAAATATGTTATTCTCCCACGTGCAGGTCACAATCAAATATAAAATTTGAGAGAATTCTATTCTTGTTGCCCCACGGACAATGTCCATCCCCTTGACCGTAGGATCCCTGTGAGATGATACAGTGCAGGAATGCCTGCAATGCTGGCCCAGCAGGTCATTACCATCCAGGCATTCCATTCAATTTCATGATCGGTCGGTACCACTGAAGTTGGCCTGGTTCAAACAGGACTTGTGAGATAGGGTCTGGACTGATGTAGACTATTGTCTTCAGCATGAATCTTCTAGCTAGGCTAAGGTACATTTATAATGTACTATGTACACTGTAATAAAATGTAGCATGAACTAGTGCTATATTGATTTGGTTAAACGATAGTTAAAGATAAAGACCAGTTATGGTCATGCGATTGCATTGTGAAAGAAACGAGGTAAACTTCTTGTAAATTTATAAGAATATTGATGAATTTGGTATCAGTTTGTAAAAAAAAAGAGCGTTCTACAAGAAAATTACGACTGTTTTGTTTGGTCCGTTTTTTTTTTTTTTTCCCTCTACGAAATGTCAAAGTTGGGGGTGCGGCCTATGCGGCCTTATTGCCGGCAAATACGGTATGCTTAAACAAAAAATTTAATTAACCATGATGTAAATACAGCCATATCTTGAACAATGTACGGTACATCAAATTTGAGTCTGAAATGGTAGACTAGAAACTGGCTACACATAGAGGCCCGAATTCACAAAGCAAGGTTTGAGCTCAGACCAAGGTTTGAGCTCAAACCTCCTTTTGTTCTTTACAAACCAGGTTTGTAAAAAACGCGTAAAACGCGTCATATGACGTACGAAAACCAAGGTTTGTCGACAAACCTCCTTTGTGAATTCGGGCCATAGGGTTTGCCTTGCAAGGTGTCATATTCTTTCTTTCTTTCTTCAATTTTTTTCTTTCTTTAGTAAGTCACCTTCAACAGGGTTCTTTTGGTAAAGAGTGAAATGCTGATTTTTTGTTGTTGTTGTTGTTTTGTTTGGGGGGGGGGGTATAATCATATAGACCAATGAACAAAAGGACCCTTAAAACCACTCTTAAGGAATTTGAATTTCATGGGTAATTATTTAAGCTTAGTTTGGGGCAAACATACTTATATAAATCTGAAAGGTCAGCAGAAAAAAAACAAACAGACAAAAAAAATAAACAGAGTGCAAAGCTGGTATGGGCGTCAACTTCCAAAGACAAATATTGAAGGTTGACTCTCAAACCAATCTTAAGATTGGTCAAGAGTCATGCAAATAAATGTCAAACTTATAGTACCGGTACTTGACCTATTGAATACTAAGCTTGAGTTGCTGTTACATGTACATGTTTAACTCTTGTGGTCCATCCTGATACATACACAGAGATGCAAACCCTATAGGATGGTTGTCAGGAACATTTACCACATGTTGTTACAAATGGGGGTCTTTCCGGAACACAGGACAAAGCAGCATATCTTTTTTGCGCAAAAACGCACACGAACACCCAATCACTCTTATAACTGCATTTTGAATCTTCCATTTTTAAGTTTCAAATAAAGATGTGCATCAAAACGTTATAACAAATCTGTTTGCAGTCATAGGATCTCCTCCTTTTTTGCGTGAATCCATGATAATATCCAGAAATAAAACACCGCCAGTACAAGCCCAGGCCCGGCGTTCATGAACACAACATACCGTATCGCACTTGAAATGCGCCTGCTGAAGTCTTCACGCCGCGCACATGATCATCCACCATCACGCTCCCCAAAAACGCACAACCGCGCATAGAATACTAGTATCAAAACAACGACGGCACCGCGTTGTTTCGGAATTAAACGAGATGGCGTCGGATGGTCTGCTGGTAGCATCATACTGATCATAGACCATGTGCACATTAGCGTGTAGCGAGCAAAAGAGCCCATCTAATGTAGTCAAATTTAGTGAACTTGTGAGTAAATGCATGTGACATGAAGCAATGTACAGAGCTGTGTACGGAGTCTATGTGTAAATAGGCGACATACGCTATAATGTACTTATTTATCGTTTCCCGTAACCTTTTGGTTGTTTAACGTAAGGCTGTAACAAGGCAATAAAACCAGAACAGATACGACGAAACCGTAACAGTAGGCATCTCTGCATACATGTATATGCAAAGAACTGAACGTAAAAGGAAGGATGAATAATGGATAAATAAATCATCCACTTTATTCTATCCTAGACTTTTCAATTCGAGGATGAAGCTCGTCGGTTCATGTCACCTGAAAACCTACAGATATAAAGCAGATGATAAAACCTTCAGATATATACCAACAGATACAACCTACAGATATATAGCAGATGTAGCTCGTTGATACATTCCATCTAAAATATACAGATATACAGCAGTAACAGCAGATGAAACACAACAAATGTAAGTACATGTAGTCCTACTTTCATTCATCATTTTTGCACCTCTTCCTTTGCCCATTGTCACCTTTTTCTCAGAATTCAACTTTTATGTCCTTTTCAATCTTTCAGCAAAAATTCTTCAAATGGATAAAACGATCAGTTAGTAAAAGGTAATCAGCAATACAATTTTGCATGCATGTGTCATTAATGATTAAGAAACTGCCTGTTGCAAGAAACTATCATAAGCCCAATGAAAAGCACTTTTACAATATTACAATATATTAAAGAAATTAATAATAGATTAAATGTCATAAATAGGTAAATAAAGAGGAATGGGGATTCTTTTTTACCATCTTGTCTTTCTCGCTTGCATAGAGTCCCACTTTCCAGCCAGGTGTAACATTAGCTGTATAAAGAAATGGCCAAACATTGATTAATTAATAGAGATTCTATGACAGTGGTGGATTTGTGCATTAATCTTAAATTTTATGAAAACAAACATATCGTGTGTTAGCACAACAATTTCCAGCAAATACTTTTTCCCTACAAATGTGTTTTAAAACATGGGAATGAAGTATATGACCAACACAATCACAAGCACGTAAACAAACTGGAGTGTGACCCCCCCCCCCCCCCCCCCCCCCCCCCCCGGAAGCAATTCTGAAAATCCAGACATCCTACCCCCGGATAACCATCCCCAGTCAACTACCCCCTAGAGGAACCACCCCCTAGAACGACTACCCCCCTGGACAACTACTCCCTAGGAAAGTTGTCCCAGGGATACTTGTCCTAGAGGGCGGTTGTTGTAAGGGGGTAGTTGTCTGGGGGGGGGGAAGGGGGTACTGGAATGTGACCCCCCCCCCCCCCCCCCCCCCCACTTGGAAGCAATTCTAAAAATCCGTCCCTGGACACCTACCCCCGGACATCACTTCCTAGGACAAATACCTCCTGAAGCTCTGGAGGCCTACAAACAGATCTTGAATTTTATTCCATAGACTGTGGATCATTTCTTGGGTGCAAGTTTGCCCCTTACTGTATGCTCCACCCCCACCCCAATAGTACTTTGAAGGAAGCTGAAAGATATCTAGCCAGTTTTAGAGATGGCTGGAAGAGAGCTTACCATTGGATGAACTAGAAGCATGTGGATGAAACTGCTGCTGGTGTGGTTGCTGCATCGGTGCCTGCTGTTGAGGTGGAAACTGATTCTGACCCTGCTGTTGGTGAAACGGTGGATAAACACCCTGGTGCTGCTGCTGCTGCTGCTGCTGTGGATAATGCATTTGTTGCGGTTGCTGCTGATTCGGAACCTGCATGTGCTGCTGCTGCTGATGCTGCTGACCGTACTGCAGCGGAGGTGCTCCATACTCCCTATGTTGTTGCCCCCCTCCCATTGGTTGGTTGGGCATGGGCTGGTGGTGGTTCAGCATTGGTTGATTCGGAGGGACCTGGTTGGGAGCAGGCATGCCCATACCGTGCATGGCAAACCCCTGTGACTGCTGTAGCATAGGAGCATTGCCACCTCCAGGCATGAAACCCTGTTCATCAAAAGAGAAAATGAAAGAAAATTAAGTTTTTTTGTAGCTTCTTTGGAACTTTGGAAAACAGTCTCTCACTTCTACACATTTTGTTTTATTTGTTACATTTGCTGCAAAGGGATTACCTCAACTCAAATTGAAAATGTGATGGTGGAGCTCTTATGAAAAATACACCTTTTTAAATGTTACTGTCTACTTCAAAACTTCCCCATTTAATTTACTTTTTGTAAGATTTTGTTATAATCCACACACAAATCAAATGTACATGTAGGCCTACTTCTGAAATCAGTGATGCGAAAATAAGAAATTCTTGGTGTTAGTGCAATATAATTACAGGGCTTAAATTAATGAAGCGATCCACGGCGAGACGGCCCGGTGGCCAAAACCGCCCCGCCTAGTACCGACTCAGAAAATGTTAAAGTATAGCTTTAGTTCTTGAAGTGTAGAAAACGAAGATAAATCAAAGTCACTGAAACAAATTCTTGATTGGAGTTGAAGATTTATTAAAATAAACGAAGAATTAATAAATCACGAAGTTCATGTTTTGGGGCTGGGCAACCCAATCGAAACAGATTAGCAACTCATGTCGATCGTAACGGAAGAGAGGTCCCGCTCCAGAGACGCAACTCGGTTTTTATCCCCCGAACTGACACGCCTCGTCCTTCCAAAAATTGAGGCGTGTCACACAGACGCTTTGCGTAATATCAATCCACTTATAATTAGTTTCCGTATTAAAAGGTCCTATATTTCTTGGCGAATTTACCCCCCTCGGATATAAGGCGCTCCGGATGATCCGCATCTCTATTCCTCACATACTTCTTTCACGCACCCACCTGTGTCTCTTACATTCTAATCTCTCAAACAAGAGATGCAAATCACCCGGAGACCCAACAACCCTGGAATATAACAAGGGATAAATGTTGCTATGTCCGTCCACACTAGCGAGCCCACATGCTTCTGGCTATTACACACCTGTAATCCTCACTTCCCCTCTCATACTATTTCGATAGTGTGAACAGACCCGGCAACAAGGAAAAACCCTTCCAATTGTAATACAAATCTATTTCCTAAATTTGCCTAATTAAATTTAAGTCAACTGTGGCGACACGCCCAGCGACACCTAATCCAATCGGCCAAGCCGAAAAAGTAGAGCCAAAATTAAGAGCGCAACGTCTCGGAACAGGTGTTAAAAATAGCATACAAGGAATTCACCATGTATGTTTGTAAACATAGTTCTAGCGAAATCTACCAGGAATTTGCCTTGTACATGTACGTCAATGAACCTTTGAGGAAAACGTAAACACGAGAATATCCATATCATTACAAACTCCCCTACTGAAACGATCTGTCCCATAAGATCGCAACAAAAAAAAATAGAAATTCTCGTCATATATACGTTCCCCTCCAAGTTACACACACGTACATGGCTGCCCAGCCCTAAAACATCTACAATAACTTCATATACATCATATAAAGCCAACATGGCTTCCAAATTACAATATATAAACACACATATCAAACTGGTAATCCAACTCACAAAAATACCCACTAGTTCAAACATACTTAGAAATATCACCTCCCATTAATGACACCCTTTGCATATTAAAACAGCATGACAATATTTTGCAAGTAAATGCACAACCTTAACGCAATAGTCAATTAAACAAACCCTCAAACTCCAAAATTTTCCTTTTTTTTCCCTCCTCTCTTCATCCACATAATTAACCAATTATGTGGTCCTGCCTAAAGAGGCAATAACAAAATTAAAATTTTAATCCAAAAACCTATTATAAATTCCTCGAGTGTCCTATTCCTGCATGGTTAACAAAAACGCCCAAATTTCCCTACAGCAGACTATGAAACCTACCACTATCATGTCTCCAACTACTTGTAATTATAGCCTGAAACTGTTTGCGAAGCTTAGGGAAGTGTCACAACCCCGGCGGTCAGAGCCGGATACCCCAGACCTCCTCCAACCGGTTGTTGGGACTTCTCCTGCCACTTGTAAACATCCATATGTAATCAGAAATTACTTAAAAATTGAAATATACTAGTGATAATACATGCACATTCTCCGAACACTGGAATAGACAACGATACGTGTAACCGGAAAAATATAAAAATTTGTAATATGCAGACCTATGGAATATACAACCAATCTCAACACGTAATTAGGCAAAAATCACCATAACCATAAATGACCCCAAATAAAATCAGGACGGGTGCCCAGCCCCAAAACAGTAAAAGTTTGATAATTAAAATTATTAACTCCCCAATTTGATGTAAACGACTAATTACCGTGATAATTAACCGTCAATATTACGGTCCCTTCAATAAAAATACGAAATATCCGACTGTTCATAGAATATCTCAAAATTTGTAGATAATCAGCGCAAAACTGATTTTGGTAAATTAAAAGGGTTAGAATGTCTACCCTTAGTTTGTCTTTGCGACCTTCTTGGGATGGCACCATCCTGATTCCCTGGAACATTAACATTATCATCTCCAGCTCGCCCTGCTACATCCTCCCCTACTGGATCTATACCTACTTTATCAAAATTAGGAACCAACATATACTCTCCCCTACTGGATCTATACCTACTTTATCAAAATTAGGAACCAACATATACAACATATATACTAAAAGGCCCTAGATCTTATTAATTCATAGGTCTATTTCTACCTTGATGTCCCCATTCATCATGACATCCTACCAACACATTCTTACGTAAACATTGAGGAAGTAAAACTTGGAATATCTCCCCAAATACAGGGTCTAGCACTCTTCTTACTAACAAACCATCTTTCAATGAAAGGCGAGACCAATGAGTCAACCATGATTTAACATTATCAGGTTCTGAAGGATGTTTGAAGTATTCATCACCGGGTGCCCAATTTTGGGACCACCGCTCCCATACAAACTTCAGTTCGGGGTCTTCTTTCTGCATTTGGATTAACTGATCTTTTGTGTAAGATGGAAATATGCCAGAAGAGCTAGGCTCTGCAAACGACTGTTGGTCAGGATTGTCACTATGCACACGTACAGGGGAACTACAAATATTTAATTGTACTTTAACAGATGAGGATTGATATTATTACGATCGTAAAAGGCCTGTTGCAGAGACTGTACAGTCTGTCTCTTACCAAAGTGGTTCTGCAAAATAGTAACTATTTGATTTGTATCTAGTGTTTCAGAATAACATCGCAACTCTTTACGTGCCGGCCCCTCCAAATGAGCCTTGATCACACTGACCTTTTGGGTCTCTGAAATTTGTGACTGTTCACAATAAAGGTCCACCTCTTCTAACCAATCTTCTAATAACATACCACCCTGCCCTGAAAATCTATCCAACGTAGCGGTTGTCCTACCAGTAGGTGTAATCCGGATACCCTGTAGAGCTTCGGTAAAACCCGTTACCAAATCTTTAACCAACTCTTCCGCCATAATTATTATCTAATGTAAATATTATTAAATACTTAGTCTAATATGAACATTAAGGCAAGGGGTGCAACCTCGGGTTACCATATATAGTATAAAACCCCTAAATACTGCTTACCTTAATTTTTGGAAGAGATGTATACTACATGTAGGCGAGCCAGAGTGAAACCAGAACCATATTCTTAGTTACCATATGTATATATGAAAAAAACACACCTTCACTACTGTTCTCGTTTACACCTAATCCAATCGGCCAAGCCGAAAAAGTAGAGCCAAAATTAAGAGCGCAACGTCTCGGAACAGGTGTTAAAAATAGCATACAAGGAATTCACCATGTATGTTTGTAAACATAGTTCTAGCGAAATCTACCAGGAATTTGCCTTGTACATGTACGTCAATGAACCTTTGAGGAAAACGTAAACACGAGAATATCCATATCATTACATTAATCTAAGGTCATCCAAGGTCAGGCCTTGGCTGCCCCTTTGATTGGCCTCAATGCCCCTCTCATTGGCCTAGGAGATTTTGTGTGCCCTTTCCAATTCTTCGTATTTGTGCTGTACTATAGGAATGTGCCCTACAGAAAAGTGGCCTTGCCCTAAAAATATTGAAATTTAAGGCTTGTAATTAACATATCATAACATAGCATTGAACAAACAAAATAATAGCGTATCAAGTAGGAAATAAGTTTGTTTTAAGGAGTTTAAGGAGTACTCGAATACTTGAGTACTCGCACTGTTGACACCTAGAAAGTCTACTCGATTACAATTCCTCGTACTCGAATAATCGGCCGTTTTGGTTTTTGTTTTTTGCCCGCGCCTGGCATTGTCCAGGCCAACGCTTACCCGTGCCAGGGAGAGCGGCGGCCACCGGCATGGTACCGTCAGTACAAATGTTTCCCAGCCCAAATCACTGTCAACTCAAAACTCAGAAACTGGGACCAAATGTCCGGATTTCTTTTTAGACTTGGAGGAAAATGGATAAGCAGGGCTGTCAACCCTAGCTCCCTCATTTGGAGGGAGTCTCACGCCACCACGCTCATTCTCCCGCTGCCCCAAAAGCTTGTCGCGGGAGATTCCCACCACCACGCCTTCCTCCCGCTTTCCCGGTTTATGAAAATGTCCCGCCAAACCGTACCGTATACCCCCCCCCCAAAAAAAAAAAAAAACCCAGCAGAACAGTCTGCGAAAATGGGAACGATCTTTGTTTTTAAGGACACAATTTCTCAGTGTTTACAAGGATATCGTCGTCTAGACTCTAGTATTAATTTAAGACAATCCTCATTCTCGGACCAGCGCCCCTACTGCACTGTGCACATCATCACATTTAAATTTTCATTTTCATAATGATATATCTGATGCGTGAAATGACTACAAAATTACATGATTCCATTTTAGTTGCTGAAAAGGCTTTCGAGTTTCGATGAATATTAATAAGGTCTAGAAGTAGAAGTTGACATACCGGCTGCATTTGTGAAGGGTGAGGTGGCCGTTGCATTGCGTTGTCCTTCCCGCAGTCTTGTTGTAACTTGTAAAGTTGTACACCGACTCCAGATCCAATCAGATCTAACAGTTAGAGCGATCGAATGGGTTTTTGTTGACGCCTAGCCGGACCCAGCACGGGAAAATTGCTGCATTCAGTGATACATTTATCTGTAGAAATCTATATATTCAGTATGAAGTAAACAGGCTAATTATGCAAATCGGTCTGTGCTTATTTGGGTAATAGACAATGCGATCATCAGGTTTTGTTTCGTTTTGTTTCGGAACTGAGCTGAACGTGCATAGTGCATGCAAATAGCCGAGTGCAGTGCTGCAGCTATAAGCTAAGCCTGCCGCCTAGCGCCTAGCTAGCCTGCATGCGCTCTCGATCTATCTCGCGCCCGTTTTTTGTGGTTTGCCATTTAAATTACGGTGTCTTTGAAACATATGCACACACAACACTGATCTCTACGGAAAAAAATCAGTGACACACAACTAAAAATATCTGACCTTTTGCCCCCAGCTAAGGCCCCCCCCCCCAAAAAAAAATTAAAACAAATATGTGTTGTCCTCGATTACTTTTCTGGAGAAGGGGCCGTTGTGACCGCGTAGAATGTAACACCCGCACCGATCGTCCGACTATTAGAGATCGATTGTTTTTTTTTTTTTTTTTTTTTTTTTTTTTTTTTTTTTTTTTTTTTTTTTGTTTTTTGTTTTTTTTTTTTTTTTTTTTTTTGTGTTTGTTGTTGTTGGTTTTGTTTTTAACGGGGGTAGGGGATTTAACAAACTTTATTCATTCGATATAACTAAGTTGATTGTAGTCTGTACTTTGTTCCAATATGTTATAAATTATAATATGTAATAGGGATACTAGTAACACAGAACAATATAGAGGGGGGGGGGGGGGGGGGGGGGGGGGGTTATAACAATATGAATTCATTCAATATAATTGAGATTACTGTATTTTGTACTCTGTAATTGGTTTCAATATGTTATATATTACAATTTGTATGAATTAATATTATTTATTGAGTGAATACAATAAAGAATATTACAAAACAAAAAAGGTGCGGATTTTATCCGCGCAGAATGTCCGTGTCGGACATTCCGTGCGCGCCTCAAATGTCTGACGGACAATCTGTGCTGAAGAGGTCTCGCACCAATAGTCCCAGTGGCGGATCCAGGGGGGGCCGAAACGGCCGCGGCCCCCCCTATTGGCGGCGCAAAAAAAAAGAGAAAAAAAAAAGAAAGGAGAAGAGAAGAAAAAAGGAGAAGAGAAAAGAAAAGAGAAGAGAAAAGAAAGAAAAAGAGAGAGAGAGAAAGAAAAAAAAAAGAAGAAGATCCCCCCCCCACCTCACTCCCACTCCGGGGTCGGAGGGACCGATTTTGTGTTCCCAAAATTTCCGATAAAGGGTTACTTTTCACGCAACAAAGTCCGGCCCGTAATACACACAAAGCCGGCCCGCACTGACTCTACACACCGAAGATAAAGGGTTGCTTTTAAACTAAGAGAGGGAACATACATGCGCATACCCTAGATAATACTGAGTGGGGGGGGGTGGGGGGGGGGGGGGGGGGGGGGTGGGGGTGGGGGAAAAGAAAAGTCGGGTGAGAAATGGGGAAAGACAAGGAAATGGCGCTAAGTGACAGTAACGACGAATAAGGGAAAAACTGTAATCGGGAGATTTGGGGTCATTCCAGAAGGCTTAGGAAACGTTATTGAATAGAGGGGGCCGGGCCGGCCGCATAAAATCTCGAGCCACGGATTCAAAGTTAAACGTTACAAACAGCCCCTGCTTTTGAAGAAAAAAATGAAAAGGGCACAATGTTTTGGATGTCTTTCAAATAGAAGCTATATACTAAACAGTCAATTTTTAGATTAACGGTAGGGCCGCTTCACAACTCTTATTTTGCCCTTCATTTGGATTCAGCTCATACCAACTCGCTTGTGCTTATATTTGAACTCATGTAGGTAGTGATAATGGACAGCGGCGGCGATCCTGGGCCCGATAGAGAGACACGTCCCCCCGGAAATTTAGATATACAGCTAGAAATAAATATACATGTAGCGGAAAGAACGTAAATATTGGACTAAAGGATTTTCTAGAATGCATAATTTCAGCATTCTACATTGCAAAATCTCGCTTGGTCGCTCCGCTCCGGCCCTCGCCCGATAACACAAAACTAAGATATGACGCTCCCGGTCGCGATTATTTCATGGTTGAACTGACCTAATTGTATGCTATCACAATCACGATTGTTTCATTTTCCCTTTAAAGCATGCGTAGCTAGGGGCGGTAGGGGCAGTAAGAGGACATAGGACGAAAAAAGGAGCAGACAAAGAAACATTTTTGACAAGTCTAAAACGGGACAACAAATCATCTTCTTTCTCTCATAATTTAATGAAGCGTCAGAAGCTTACGCGCTACGCGCGGGGGGAGGAAAACTGAATTCAGACAAGGATTTAGAGTCGAGAATGAAACAACGAATCATCTTCTTTCTCTAATAATTCAATGAAACGTCAAAGCTTCCGCGCTTCGCGAGGGAGAGGGGGGGGGGGGACTCAATTCAGACAAGGATAAGAATGATAAGAATCGAGAACGGTACAACGAATCGTCTTCTTTCTCTAATAATTTAATGAAACGTTAAGCTTCTGCGCTTTGCGCTAGAGGGGGTAATCTGAATTCAGAGAAGGATTGAGGGTCGAGAATGGAACAACGAATTATCTTCTTTCTCTAATAATTTCATTAATCTATGAAAGGTCAAAGCTTCCGCGCTTCGCGCGGGAGGGGGAAAAATGAATTCAGACAAGGAATAAGAGTCGAGAATGGTACAACAAATCATCTTCTTTCTCTAATAATTCAATTAAACGTCAAAGCTTCCGCGCTTTGCGCGGAGGGGGGGAACTAAATTCAGACAACGATAAAGAACCGAGAACAGAACAACGAATCGTCTTCTTTCTCTAATAATTTAATGAAACGTCAAAGCTTCTGCGCTTCGCGCGAGAGAGAGGGGGGAACTCAATTCAGACAAGGTTTAAGAGTCGAGAACGTTACTCTTTCTCTAATGATTTAATGAAACGTCAAAGCTTCCGCGCTTCGCGCTGGAGGGGGTATGGAAACTGAATTCAGACAATGATTAAGTATCGAGAGTAGTTATAGCAGTGAGTACCGGGACGGCCATAGGTTTTGTACACGAATTTTTTCGTACTTATACTATTTCTAATTGACTCGTGTACATTAACTTTGACATAGTCTATTTTCGAGAAAAAACGGACTTATAACACGCATGTCTTTGGGGTTTTGACGAGGTCCTGACTTTTTGAATTTAATTAGGGATTTGTCATTTTGGACTTGTAAATTTTTTCGATAAAAACTGACTTATAACACGTGTGTCAATGGGATTGTGACTTTATGAATTTTACTTAGTGATTTTCTCTGTTGGACTTAGTTTTTTTTCAAGCAAAAAGTGAATTACAACACGTGTTTCTATGTGAATTTTGACATTTTAAATTTTACTTAAAGATCTTTAGGAATTATTGACGTTTTGAATAGTGGATAGGTATTTATTTGTGGAACTGACTTTTAACACGAGTGCCTGTGTAATTTTGACTTTTTGACTTTCTTTCTACGGGATAATTTGTGTTTACTTTAAGGAACGTTTACAACGCCGTTGTAGTTTGGATCAATATCTATTGTTCGATCAACTAAATAAAGGAACGTGTATTCGGCAACACGGGGAAGCGTATTGCAGTCTATGTGTATAAAAGGTATTGACTTTGTCAGGCGCGTACGCAGGATTTTTCAAGGGGGGGGTTTTAACATTTATAAATCGGTCCGAAAATTTCGCAACGACTCAGCCAGCCGCTGAATAAGCGGGGGGGGGGGGGGGGGGGGGGGGGGGGGGGGGGGGGGGTTAGGGTAAGAGGACACTTTTTTTTTTTTTTTTTGGTCTCGAAATTTGGAAATTTGACATTTTGCTCCGTTGGGGGGGGGGGGGGTAAGGTCACCTTTTTTAGGTCGGCCATGGGAATAATTTTTATTTTTTATTTTTTTTTAATAATTAAAAAAAAAAAAATAAAAATAAAATAAAAAAATCCAAAAGGGGGGGGGGGGGTTTTAGGTTTTTTTTAGGGGGGTTTACACACAAAAAATTTCCAAAGGGGGGGGGGGGGGGTTTAACCCCCCCCAAACCCCCCCCCCCCCCTGCGTACGCGCCTGGACTTTGTATAGGTCTAGTTTCTTTGTATTTGAATTACCTCTTTTCAACAATAGAACCGGTGTTTCTTATTGATCGTGTATTGAGTTTATGAACCTCTCAACAGCTTTTCGACAAATGAAGCTCGTTTTATTCCGCCCTGTTCGTTCCGTCGAGTTCTTTGGACTTTCACACAACACTTTGATACTTATAGTTCAGGGCTATGTTTGGACTCTCTCAAAACATCATCAAAACAGATTTGAATACACAGATAACAATTGCAATTTAGTCATGTTACCAGAGAACAGAGATAAAATATACAAAACATTTTTAACTAGAGAAATAGAACCCAAGTCACATTATTGTATTTTTTCATCGGTAAACAAAAAGTTAACACAATTGTACAGCAAACATACACGCCGTAAATCCGTAGTTTAGCGTCGTAACATGCCGTAACGCCGTATATAACGCCGTAACGCCGTATCGTTATATCCACAACGCATTTGACGGATCATTCATCTCTATGCTAAATCACCAAGTTTTCTAGAGCACCCACTATCCTGTTGAGGTTTAACACTCTATTATGAACTCCGTAAATCTATTTCATACGTTCACCATCTCGACTCTATTTCAATCTCGACTCTATTTCCATACTTTCAACATCTCGACTCTATTTCACACTTTCACCATTTCGACTCTATATCACACGTTCACCATCTCGACTTTATTCCATACTTTCATTAATCTCGACTCTCTTTCCATACTTTCACCATCTCGACTCTATTTCCATACTTTCAACATCTCGACTCTATTTCATACTTTCACCACCTCGACTCTATTTCATACTTTCACCATCTCGACTCTATTTCATACTTTCAACATCTCGACTCTATTCATTCTGGACATACTTTGTATGTTGTACGACTATTGTGACGTAGAATACACACATCCATGAAATAAAACACTATGTAGTACATAATTATATTTTACTTATTTTACTATATTTGTTTCCGTTTCAATGTGGACAACTTTATGCAAAACCAGATTTGAATACAAAGATAAGAATTGCTATTTAGTCATGTTACTAGGGAACAGAGATAAAATATACAAAACATTTTTAACTAGAGAAATAGGACCCAAGTCAGATTATTGTATTACTTCATCGTGAATATGTAAAAACTGTTAACACAATTGTACAACAAACAATTAGTGTTTATAAATAAATATCTTTAAAAACATAAAACACAATAGAAAGTGTTTTT